GGGATAACCAGGCTTATTTCTTGCTAAAGTAGTATAGAACTACTCTAAATAACATATGAAAACTACTGGGAAAAGATTGGTACAATTTGGTAAGGAAATGACTGAGATCTTGTCAACATCAATAGGGACAGTGACAAGAGGGGGAAGAGGGTGTTTGACACCGTGGCAAACAGCGTCAGGCACACACGGGGATGCGGCAGCCATGTGCGGAAGTGTACTAATGGTGCAGGAAACACATGTTGGGGATAACAGCTACTGCAGCACAGCCAGCTGAACACCTCTGAACCCTGAAAAGTGGCTAAGTCTCTGGTCAGGCATAGATTTTGATGCACCTGCACAAAGCGGATGCTACAGACACTGAGACCAGGTGAGCGGATGGCAGATCCGCCAAATAAGGGAGTAAAATGGTTCACACAAAGGTAGATGACATGTAGACTATTCAATATTTAGGAAATTGACGTGCAGATGGATATCCGCGCTGTTATGCATAGATTTGAAGCACCTGCACAAGGCGGATGCTACGGATGCTGAGGCCAAATGGGCGGATGGCGGATCCGCCAGCTAAAAGAGTACAATGGTCTGTACAAGCATGGCGGACACGTAGACTATTCAATATTTAGGAAACTGACGTGCGGATGGACATCCGCGCTGTTATGCATAGATTTGAAGCACCTGTACAAGGTGGATGCTGTGGATGTTGCGGATGCTGAGGCCAAATGGGCGGATGGCGGATCCGCCAGCTAAAAGAATACAATGGTCTGTACAAGCATGGCGGACACGTAGACTATTCAATATTTAGGAAACTGATGTGTGAATAGACATCCGCACTGTTATGCATAAATTTGAAGCACCTGCAAAAGGCGGATGCTGCGGATGCTGAGGCCAAGCGGACAGATGGCGGATCCGCCAGTTAAACGAATACAATGGTCTGTACAAGCATGGCGGACACGTAGACTATTCAATATTTAGGAAACTGATGTGCGAATAGACATCCGCGCTGTTATACATAAATTTGAAGCACCTGCACAAGGTGGATGCTGCGGATGCTGAGGCCAAGCGGACAGATGGCAGATCCGCCAGTTAAACAAATACAATGGTCTATACAAGCATGGCGAACATGTAGACTATTCAATACTTAGGAAACCAACATGCGGATGGACATCCGCGCTGTTATGCATAGATTTGAAGCACCTGTACAAGGCGGATGCTGTGGATGTTGCGGATGCTGAGGCCAAATGGGCGGATGGCGGATCCACCAGCTAAACAAATACAATGGTCTATACAACCATGGCTGACACGTAGACTGTTCAATATTTAGGAAACCAACATGCAGATGGACATCCGCGCTGTTATGCATAAATTTGAAGCATCTGCACAAGGCGGATGCTACGGATGCTGAGGCCCAGTGGGCGGATGGCGGATCCGCCAGCTAAAAGAATACAATGGTCTATACAACCATGGCTGACACGTAGACTATTCAATATTTTGGAAACCAATGTGCGGATGGACATCCGCGCTGTTATGCATAAATTTGAAGCACCTGTACAAGGCGGATGCTGAGGTCAAGTGGGCGGATGGCAGATCTGCCAGATAAATGCTCATCTGCTAATAATGTTCATCCGCCAGACATGCTCATCCGCCTGCAATGCTCATCCGCCAACCACTCTCAGTTTACTGTACCTTTTCGACCGTAGGCTTGCGGGTGGCGTGGGAATTGTGTTTACCCCATCCAGACTGTCCACCATGTGAGGCTCGAGGATTCGGAGCAGGGGTGGACGCCAAGCTCGCGATGTTCAACGTTCAACATTGAACTATTAACCCCGCCACAATTGAGTTTAAATTGCTTTCTTCTGTATGGTAACCATCCGGGCCTAGACGTTGAATCTGCAGCGACTTCTGTCGTCAGCCCATGCAGTCCATGAGCATTGCACCATTGACCCTTCCAAAGCCAGTGACACACAGTAAGATTTTCCCGCACCGTAGAATTTATTATCCGGATATAGAAAAACTGAGGCGGTGTAAATGTCGCAAGATTATGAACATGAAGTACGATAGACTATTAGGCCACTAGGACACAATCAAACGCTTGTGGATTTTTTCCCGCAATCTACATGACCTTTTTCGACAATTTACTGGCTGTCCACCATTTCAAGCTCGCATGGGTCCTGCCGGGCAGCCCATGCAGTAGACTCGCGCTCGCGGGTGTCGGTCCACCGGACGGTTGCTACCTGGAGGTACGTCGGGCCACCGGATCATCAGGTGATGGGGCGATGTGCTTCGGGTGACCTGACGGGGTTGAAAAGGGCCATCCGCGACTAATATAATGTGTGCATACAGCTTACAATGTAGTTATCAAAAGTAATAGAGAAGGCGGATGGTGATCCAAGGTTGGTCATCGTGCGGGCGGACGTCCGGTCACTGAGAGTGAGTACGTCCCTCGGGTCAGCTGGTGGACAGTAGATTGGTTGAGTGAGGGAGGGCATCGGGAAAGCTGATGCTGTCAATGCATCCGCCGTGTCCGCGAGGGCGGGGGCATGGAGTCAGCTGGGGTCTGAGCCCTGCTTGGGTGGGATGGGCACCGAGCCGCATGATGGGGCCAAGGGCGGTAACGGGGCGGATGTTGGTGACAACAAGGAGTTGAGGCGAGGGTGTCGGTCAGCTGGTGATGCGGCAGGAAATGAATTGAGCGAGGGCATCGAAGGAGCTGGGGGGAGTAAATGCACTATTGGGGCGGATGAGTAGTCCCACAGAAAGGCAAGGGGCGGGGGCGTCAAGTCACCTGGCACAGAGAGGGAGTGTGCCAGCAGTGGACTGCCGCGGATGGGCATGTATGTAGGCAGATGGCAAGTGGGGGCATCAAGTCAGCTGGTATGGGCCTTGATAACAGTGAGCTGCACCAGGATTTGTGGGAGTGTCAGCGGACAAGGGTTGCTGGCAGACAAGCAATCTTGGCAGACAGGCGGTGATGACAGATGAGCATTTCTGGCGGATGAGGATTCCTGGCGGATGGGGATTCCTGGCGGATGACTGTTGCTGACAGATGAGTGTTGTTGGCAGGTGAGCATTATTGGCGGACATGCATTGCTGGGGAATGGAAAGTGATGGCAGAGAAAAGCGCTGATACATGCCTAGCTCATGCTTTAGGCAGACATCAGGCAGACAGGCTATAGGGGAACAAGCGAGGAGATGCAGCTTGTCAGGGCGTGGATTCGAGCGTGTGTGGACTGCATCTCTTTCACATCAACGTGGTGGCGGCTGAGCGCGAGTCGTTAAAGTGGTAGGGACCGACTTTGACTACGACGGATGTTTATGACAATGTCAATCATTAAAAAGAGACAAATTGGAAGGGTATCGACGTACAGGCTGTATGAATCTCGGTCTCTGCGGATTGCTCTCAGAACACGAGATCGAGAGGTGCTACCAATGGCACCCCTCGTTAATATTACACGAAGACGCTGACTCCACGGCCGGATCCAATCTCACATGGCATAATACGAGGAGTGCAGGTTTGTTTAGCTTCGCATGCTCTGACGGGAGATGAGTCAGTCTCGAGCCAAACGGAATTAGAAAGTAGGTGGCGAACTTCTCGAGCAGTATAAGCCAACGGCGCGATATAATAACTCGTATCTTCAAAATTATGGTAGGCTTTTGTTGACCTTTGTTTGTCTTTTTGATATGAGGGTTACCTTTTTGATCTTGGCCTGCCCTGCTTACCCCGAATAAATCCCGAACATGGTTGAACGACACTTTGCTGGTGATACGTGCAATTATCTATGGTGCGTTTTTTTTTCCTCAGGTAAGCCCTTGGGAAACTTTTGATATGCTGTAGCGGTGTGAGCTCGAGCTCGTTGATATTGCTAATTTCGATAGAAAGTGCCGGAGCGTAGCTCGGCGTGTCTTGTAGGGTCTACCCTTGATAAGGCACTGGAAATCAATCAGCAGCTGTGCAGAAGTAGCCAATTGCGCAAGCTCGGCAGTATTCGGCGGTGGATCCGGCGCTCGGGGCGGGTAGCACCGAACGTTTCCAGCACTTTGAAGTTCACGCGCACTCATCCTCTAGACCGACGCATTTATCAGTCCCTCCTGCATTCTTCCCTCCGGCCCTCCCCGAACGCAACTGACCATGATACACAGGAGCAAGAGCAGACAAGCGACAGGAACGAAGGACTCAGACTTAGATTTGTCGCGCGTCTGCTCAATGTTGCGATAGTGAAGTGTGCTCAATGACGAGGTCTCAAGATCTCAGGCCCCCAGGTGCCGGTGAGTACCCAAGGTTTGAACATCGCCTTTGTATTACAATTGCACTGCGGCTGGACATAACGCATCAGCTATTGGAGTCCGGGAACCCATTGCTGGACGTGCTGCTCCAGTCGGGAGAGCAACTTGTCCTCAGGTGCGACTCCTACGTCACGAAGCATACGCAATAGCCCGTCCCCCAACTCTTTCTCCCTTTCTCCAGGTTCCTCCGTGACGCAGTCTATGATCCTCGCAAAAGCCTCTTTAGCTCCTCCCCTCGACACATTCCGGCCAGCTTCCGTCTCGTATCCTAAGAGCGGCTCGATTACCTCGGTCCGGAACCTCCTAAGCGCCACCGCCCGGGTCGATACGACGACGAACAGCTTACTGCCGGCCTCAGCGCGCTGTACCGCCATAGTCTCCTTTTCCGCCGCCGTACCGCCCCCCCTCCCTTGATCTTCTTGGCTGAATCCCCAACGCTTGAGCTCCTTTTCCCTCCACTTTTTCATCAACTTTTGCATCTCCGCTGGGTGGGCGCGCCATTCCTGAGCAGCGTCCTCAAACATTTTCTTGTCGACGATGTTTTCCTTCCGCGACCAGCCTTTGCCCTCGTCAACCTCACGCCGGACGTAGTGGCGATTGAGGTACGCAGACATTCGGTCGACGAAGGCAGCTCCATCTTTGTACGCTTCAAAGCGCGCGACGATGCGGGATCCCAAGATAAGTTCTTCTATGGAGTCGTCTTTGCTGGCGGCCGGGTCGACGGGAAGCAAGGATGCTAGGATAGAACGAGCGACGTCAGCGAAGTACGCGTCGAATCGCTCGTATAGCTTGGGTGGGTTATCGGAAGAGTTTTGTCTGCTGAAGTTCACGATCGCCGTGTATCCCTTCATGTATGTTTGATAATTCATCCCACTCTTGATATCGGAAATGTCTCGAGCGCGCATGTAAGCGTCCAACGTTGGGAGTAGTGACTCCCACGTCTCATCAAGCGAGATCTCGGGACGACGTGTTCGTGCATTGACGACGGACATAGGATACTCGAGTACGTTGACAATGGACTAGATGGGTGTTGTGATGGAATTTGGAGGAAGGAAGATTAGACGGGGATGGGAACGACAAACGCTAGTTGCTGTGCACGGCACGTGCTTGATGGGGTCCCAAATACACCACGATATTCTTTGGATTGGCCTGCATTTGAGTCCGCCCGAACGTTCCCTTAGTCTAGCACGCTCGATTAAGTGGGCTGCGAACGCAGGATTGTCTTTGTTTCCTACTGCACGCTGCCAGAACCCTCAAATACGCGCCGAGCAGATTATACAGTGCCTCTCCAGCCTGTGCGAGCGGATGCGTACGGCCCTTTGCTTTGACGCTGCGGTAGCAGCATTGCAATGTCCGGTGCGTGTACCGGTTAGCAATACATAAGGTCATCTGACATCTAGCGGAAGTAAATACAAATGTCTTGAGCAGACCCGCGAAGCCGTGAACAGATCAGTTGGTTGCTCCGATTTGGGTGGCTATTACTGGTCGTAAGCTGGACAAAAGCTGGACGGTGAGCACGACTCAAAGTTACAAGACGATGATATTTGGCTGAGCTTCCGTACGCACCACCTTACTTTGTGATGTACTCTTTCAGTCGGATCAAAGATTCATCCTCGGGTGCTACACCTAGGCCGAGAAGCAAGCCTAACAAGCTCTCTACTGAACCAATTTCTATGCCTTCAAGCTCGTCCACTATGTGCTCGATGACTTGCGCTAACCTCCCATGAGAGTTACCCTCCGATACACCTTGGTCCGATGCATGCGCGTAGCCCAGCAATGGCTCACCCACCTCCATTCTGAACCTCCTCAGAGCCATTGACTTGATAGGAACCACCGCGCCCAGCTTGCTCCCAGCCTCAGCCCTTTTCTCGGCGACGCACTTCCTCTTTGCCATCTCCTCTTCATCATCCGACTGCTCTTGATCGAAACCTCGCCTGTGGAGCTCGCCCTCCTTCCAAGCCTCCAGCTGCTGCTGCACATCTGCGCTATTCAAAGACTTCCCCTGCTCCAGCCGTGCGCGCTCTAGCACCGCTTTATCGACAATATCTTCTACGTATACCCAACCGCGCCCCTCATCAATCTCACGGCGGACGTAAAGCCGATTGATATAGTTGAGCATGCGATCCGCGCGGCTTGCCCCGTCCTCGTATTTCTTGTAACATTTTGGAAGGCTGATAGCGAGCGCTGAGTCGTTGGAAGATCGAAAGAGAATGTCCTGAAGATACTCGCGCGCGACTTCGGCAAAGTACTCGTCGACCAGCGCGTACAGAGGTGGTTCGCCAGGAGTACGGCGGGAGGAGGTCTGGTAGTCGTACACCGCAGTGTACACGCGGAGGTATGTGGCCTGCTTGGTTTTGTCGTCGGCAGCGATACTAACCTCTGGTGTCGATGTAGACGTAGACTGATGCGGCCGACCCATGACTTCGTCAAGCGCTGGACGAATGGCATCCATGGTACGCTTTGACGAGTCTTTGACCTGAGAGCCTCGCGTTACGGGAGGTGTTTGTGCAGATGGGTGCAACATGTCCTGTGGTTGAACGGTATGGTGACAAGAGACGAGAAGAAAGAGGTAGTCAATCAAGTTGCTGTGCAGTGCGTCGTGCTAGACCAGTACTATTGATTCCGGTTGCACTGACTCACACAGCAGAAGAACCCACTGACAGGTACTTACACTCCGTCAAGATATATCTGATCAAACCAGCTTTTCATCATTTCAGAGTTGAGTTCGTGACTCCGCATTGCTAACGTCATGTGAGGTAAGTAAACTACCACTGACGAAGAAAGCTTACTGTGCGACGTAACGCTCAATTTGAGTCAAGGAGTCGTCTTCCGAAGCGACGCCTACGGTACGGAGCATGTGCAATATCCCCACCGTTAGTTCCTTCTCGTCTCCCCATCGTCTCCCATTTTCTCGATGACTCGGACTGGCTCGCCTCTTGACGCAATGCTTGGAGAACCCTCTTCTGTCCCTATCCTGTAACCTAGGAGAGGTTTGACAACTTCAGTACGGAACCTCCGCAGCGCCATTGCCTTCACAGGTACCACAGTCCCCAGTTTGGTCCCTGCCCCCGCACGTTCCTGTGCAACAATCCTGCTGACTGCCTCCCCATCGCTGTCGGAGACATGTGATGCAGGCGGTTCCACCTTTCCGAGACCATATCGCTTCAACTAGCGCTCCTTCCACGCCTCTACCACTCTGTCCGTGTCCGCGTTGGGTTTCAAACCGGGATGTTTGGTTTTCTCTTCTTCAACGATCGCCTCCTTTTCACCCATCCACGACCCTCGTCCGACTCGCACTTGATATCGTGCCGGTTGAAGTAATCGAACATCCTGTGAACGGATAGCGCGCCTCGCTCGTATAGGGAAAATTGCGTCATGAGAGCCTGTGCGAAGTATAGATCTGCGTTGCGGTCTTGGATACCAGCCACCTCGGCAGGGTTGTCCTGCTTGAAGTTGTTAAGAAATTCACGAGCGATCTCTGCGAAGTATACGTCCAGCTCTTTGAGGAGAGCCGATGCGCTTGCCGCCCACTGCCTCGACATGGTGAAATTGACAACTGCACTGTAGGCTTCCATATACCTTTGGCGGATGGTGTTTTTATGGGTATCGGTCGCATTTTCTCCATGAGGGCTGTGGCTGGAGAAGATTTGTCATGCTGCGCAGTAGCGACGGCGCTCGCAGGTCTTCCAGGTACGCCTGCCATGATGGTGTGGTTTCTAAAGGAATAAAATGGGAGAGTGAAAGGCTATAAGGGAGGCGCTACTTCCTGTGCAATGCGGTGCGTGCGCGTGATGGCCTGATGACTTGAACAGTCCAATGACCTTGCCTCGGCAGTGTTGATGCACGGCAACTAGTCAGAATAACTAGCCTCCATGTGGCTGATAGAATTTGATGGTGAGATAATGTGTGCTCATTTGATTTGTTCCTGACAACGTCTCTACTGCGGACATACATTTTCTCGCCAAATTCGCCGATATTTGTATGTCTACCTGGCCTTGAAAGGAATGCAGAAACAAGTGTTCACTTCGTCATGGGATTGTGCATTCACAGGGGGATAGACGGTGCCGGAAGGTGGAACGCGTGATAATCCATCTTGGGCGCCCTCCGGAGTAGACGTCGCGTCAACGTCTTCATCTTCTTCGCTCTCCGATTCTGTACCCTTGCCGTTCCGATTCCTTCTCCGTTCTAACGCACCAGCAAGACGCTGGGCAATCTCGGTTAAATGCTGAGTTAACGGAATAAGCACAGAATACGCACCTCTTTAGCTCGGGCCGTGGAAACAAGCATGATGCGACGTAGAGGAAACAAGTTTGTGTTACCTCTCGAGCGTTGGCTTTGACCTTGGGCGTGCCGACTGCCGATCGATGCAAAGAAGCTCTTGAACGGCCCGCGACCGTCAGGATCGGAAAGAGGGTATGATTGTGTTGTCTGGCGATGTTGGGCGGTGCCCTCACGTCGAGCGCCTGTCGGACGTGTGTTCTCGTAAGGCTGTCCTTGTCTTCGAAGAGTCGCAGGACGCTGGTGTGATACTTTGGCTCATGTGAAATGATAGCAAAGGGCAGCATAACTCACATTCATGAAGCTTTCTTCCGACACCCTTCGCTGCAAAGCACGGTTGTTAATGGGTACACATCATCGTATGAGCTCGAACGCTTACTTCATGCCGTACCCCTCTTTCTACCTCGTTGACAGATTCTTCGTCTTCGTTATCGCCCGAGGACCCCTTGTAACATCAGCACGCTAGCATGCATGGGGTGAATATAGCGATACGTACTTTTCCCAAAAGTAGTTTCCCACTTACTATATCCCAAACTCTGATATATCCTTCGTCGGTCCCGCTTGCGATCCGTTTGCCATCCTTCGAGAACGCAGCTACAGAAACCAAGCTTTCGTGTTCAAGAGACCGAAGAAGCTGACCGGTATTCGCTTTCCAAATGCGAACTTTCTTGTCGTCTGAAGCGCTTAAGAAGGTTTCCCCATTAGGCGCGTACTGCACGCAGTTTACCCAGCTGTCGTGCTCGACCCGGAAAACTTGCTCTCCGCTAACTGTGCTCCAAACTCGTGCGGACCCATCCCCGGAACCGCTGAGAACGTATGATCCATCTGGGGACCAGCAAACCGACTGCACATAGTAGTCGTGTTGATACGGGCCCGCTATCAGAGTGCCTGTCTGCAAATCCCAAACGCGCACCGTATCGTCCCTTGAACCGCTTGCGAGCTTTGAGCCATCGGGAGATACACTGAGAGACGTGACAAAACCATCATGACCTTCGATAACGCGAAGCAAGCTGCCGTTCCGTGTATCCCACACACATATAGTACCGTCGTCGTTTGCACTAATGAAACGGGATGCATCGCGTGTAAACTTGACGGCCGTGACTTCTTTATTAACTACCTTGATAGGATCCATGGCAGGCGCTTTGTCGTTGATATTCCATAGACGAATTGTATGGTCCTCAGAGCTGCTGACTACCATCGAGCCATCGAAAGATATGTCAATGGAAGTGACGGTGCCTGTGTGATAGGCAAACACGTTGACAGGTTCTCCGCCCTTTTTCGCGTTCCACGTTTTGATAGCATAGTCGAATCCTGCAACTGTGAAATGAATACCGTCGGGAAACCATGCCAGAGACCTGGGTCCCTCAAGCGTGGCCATTCTGTGTGATGGATGATAAATAAGTGGACAATAGGGAAGAATAGGTTATACGTACAGTTGACCTTTGGAGGGCTTTGAATCGGTACCCTGGGCAGAGACTTTTGTTAGTAATAACCTGGCAAAAGCGGCTAGCGTACTTACTTCGGGAAGAACACGTTTACCCGAGACGGTGTCTCGAATGTACATGCTAGAACCTCCCGCACAGACGACCAAAGGTTCCGTCGGAGAGATTGAGATGCGCACGTGCATTCCGTCGCTATACACCGGACCCCACAGACACTCGCCTGACATTGGATCCCAGGCGCGTACACTTCTGTCGCGTGACGAACTAATCAGCATCAGCCCGTCGGGGGTAAACGCAAGACCTGAGACGCCAAGTTTATGCCCTTTCAACGGCGCCTTGTGAGGTTTACCAGTCTGCGCGTTCCACAGACAGATGGTGCAATCTCTACTACTGCTCGCTAGCAGCCGTCCATCTGGGGAAAAGATAACCTCCCACGGCTGCTCCTTGTGGGCCGCGAGAGGGGGAAAGACGAGGCTTCGTGAATCCACGTCCCACACGCGTACGAGGTTGTCGCCGCAGGTAGTTGCGACACGTTTGCCGCAGGGCGAAAATGATGCGACATCAAGTCTGTGCGAATGTTCTAGGATGACAGTACATTCGCCGGTGCGTGTGTCCCATAGCCGTGCGGACCCATCGTCTGATGCGCTGACGATGAAGTGTCCATCAGGAGAATACTGCACGGACCATATAACCTTAGTGTGGCCTTTGAGCGGGTCCAAAACCAGCTCCTGGGTTAAAACGTCCCAGACACGAACTGTGTTATCGAAAGAGCCGCTCGCGATCCTCTGCCCATCGGGGGAGAATGCAACTCCAACGATCGGCTCCTTGTGACCTTTCAGAGGCTTTCCGATCTGCATGCCGGTGTGCGAGTCCCAGATCCGTACTGTCTGATCAGTAGAGGCCGACGCAATCCGGGCACCGTCAGGAGAATAAGCCACTCCGTACACCGTATCAGTGTGTCCATGAAAGGGTTTGGGGGTGCCAGTGCTACCTTCGGAATCCGAAGATGTGTCTGAGGATGACATTTGGGTGGTACTGTTGGGCGATGAGAGGTGTAGGCGGCTGCCATTGGCCGGCGAGGAAATGTCACTCACAGTGGTGGTTTCTGGTCAACGTGTGTCGGCGCTCTCACAGCACCCGCACAATGCTTGGTGGCCGCATTGACGCTGGAGGTGCTACGCGTTCCCACACTATCATCCGTATATGTCAGAATAAGTCCGAGTGGCTCGCGAAGACTTACAATAGATTGACGCTGAACGTTCACAAAACGTTCCTTGTCTTCCATTGCATCAAAAATTGCCGTGTGACTGCCCAAAAGTCAGACGACCATCCTTACGATGATAAGGACGCAGTGCAAGGTGCAACAAAGGAATCGATGGGAGATGTCACAAGGCCCAGGCTGTTGAGTCTCGCATGGGAACATATTACAAAGCCAGATTCCCACGGTCGTTGCAGCACCGCTTTTCCCATCCACAGTCCAACGGCGGAAAATGCACGAGTTCATTTCCAGTCCATCATCGCACTATATAGGGGGAATTAAGTAGCGCGGTGGAGTGGAGACGTGGCCGTGCAGAAAAGAAAAACACGATGTTAAGATGCGAACAAACAGTCCAGAATGCAGAGAAAGATGAAATCCCAAACCAAGCAGCAAAAAAAAAAACTTGCTAAAGCGCCTCAAAGGTTACGTTCAACGTTCAATTCGTCGCCGTCGCATTAGGGGGCTGAGGGAAATACGTGAGCTGGTACGCATCCCCAGTAAGCGTAAACTGCGCCGTCAGCGCGCGCGTCGTGTCGAGCGCGACCTCGTACGCGCCGGGGTACAGCCAAAAGTTGCCCTGCACATCCGCGCGCGCGATCTGATTCAGCACGACCTCAAACGTCGCCGTCTGGCTCGCGCCCGCCGTGACATTGTGCAGCCGCGTGTACGCCGCGAGCGACTTGTTCGGGTACGGCGCGGGGCCGTATGTGCCGTTCACGAACAGCAGCGCGCTGTAGTCCGACGTGACCGCGCCCGCGTTTGTCACTTCGACGCTGAGGGTGTCGAACGGGGCGAGGTCGATGTGTGCGGAGCCTTGGCCCGCGGCGACGAGCGCCTCGATGCTGTACGTAGCTGCGGGCGCCTTGGTCCACGCGTAGGTGAAGTTGGTGTAGTGCAGCCCGTAGCCGAACTCGTACACGGGCGTGCCGGTGTACCACTTGTATGTCCGGCCGGGGCTGGTCGTGCCGTTCGCGTCCGGGCGGAGGTTCATGTTCGTCATCGGGATCTCGTTCACGTAGTCGGCGGGGTACTGCGTTGACACGAGGCGCCCGGCAGGGGCGACTTTGCCGCTGATGATGTCGAAGAGAGCCTGGCCGCCGCTCTGGCCTGGATAACCGCCCCAGAGGAGCGCGTTGACCTGATGGCGTATCAATCAGATGAGTTTTGCGTATATAGGAAGACTGATCACGTACGTCTGGGTTAGCATTTATCTCGGTGTCGTCGACTTGGCCTCCACCAAACTGGACAACGACCAGCGGCTTCCCGAGCTTCCCAAGCTCTCCAATAAGCCAGAGCTGGAATGCAGGCCAGGTGATATCGTTCCGGTCCATGGCTTCTGCTTCAACGGTGTTGTCGATACCGCCAACAAAGACGATCGCGTCCGCACCCTGGGCAGCCGTAAATGCAGCTGCATAGCCGTCCGTGGTGTTGCTCGTGACGTTCGTCTCGAGCACGTACGAGATGTTGTATCCGGCGAGCTGCGCTCCCTGATACGGGCTGATGAGATAAGGCGCGTTGCCGTAATAGTTGCCCTGCATCTGGGTCGTCGCGAACGTCCACGGCCCGATGAGTGCGATGTTCTTGATCGCGCTCGAGAAGGGAAGCGTGCCATCGTTCTTGAGAAGTGTGATGCCCTCAACTGCGGCGGTATATGCGAGCTCCTGGGCGTAGGACGTGTCGACGTTGGACCAGTTGTATTGACGGTACGGCTGCTCGCTGGCAGGGTCGAAGTAGCCCAACCTAGGACGAGACCACGTTAGCTGAGGGCTGTATGCCGCTGCAAACTCGGTACTGACCTGACGAGAGATGCATATTGCCGCGTCAGCGCAGCACGGAGATCTTGCTCGGTGATCAACGACTCGGTGTACGCCAGCGGGAGCCATGTAGTGTAGAATATGCCACAGTCGATGTCGGATCCGGCCTTCAGCGCGTCGGCAGCCGCTTGTTGAGGAAGGGCGGTGTAGTGGTGAAAGTCGTAGATGTCTAGCCGTCACATTGTTAGGATCAATTCCGCTCGGAAAGGACACACAACATACCCTCGACTGAATCGCAATCGCCGGTGACTATATGACTAGGTCAGAGACGTGATATTTCCCCGTGCTGGTGAAAGTTGAACTTACCCCAACGCGTCTGGTCAAAGCCCCAGAAGCCTCTCAAGATATCTTGAAGGAGGTACGTGTCAGCACAGGTAGGGATGCCGTTGATAGCGTTGTATGAACACCTATGATTATGACAGCGATCAGCGAAGACAACGCTAGGAACCATGCTAACATACATGGATGCGCCCGCAAACGCGTCACGGTAGCAGCTCTGGAACGAGGGCAGATAGTACTCGCTCAGGTCCTGAGTCGAGATGATCGCGTTATACCCGTAACGGTAGTTAAAATCCCAGTCCTCGAGATCATACCCCGCGAAGTGCTTGCACGTCGCGACGACCTGGAAGTACGGCTCGGGATCGAGCCCGCCTTGCAAGCCCTGGATGAGGTTGTACACGTATTGGGCAATATGGTATGGGTCCTCGCCCGGCGTCTCCTGGCCGCGGCCCCAACGTGGGTCCTTGAACGGGTTGATGTTGGGTGTCCAGAAGTCGAGCCCGGCGTGGCCGTAGTTGTTGAACGCGCGCCCTTCCATCCCGATCACGCCGCCGACTGCTTTGATGAGGGCATCGTCGAAGGCGGCGCTCATGAGGATGGGCTGCGGGAAGGAGGTTGCGTAGCTGAAGGGACCGGTGATGGACCAGGTGACGCCTGCGCTGTTTGCGACGCCGTGCTAACATGAACCGCTGTCGGCTCAGTGCCATACCATGATTTGCCATGGAGGTTTTCTCACCAAACCTTCTGACCACCACTCATACGCCGGAAGGCCAAGGCGAGGGACACCCGGAGCCCAATTGACGGTGTTGACGATTAGCTCATCGACAGTAAAGAGGTCGATGAGCGCTGCGGCGCGTTGTGTCGCGTTGAGGGACGTGTCGCACACCGAGTTATTGACAAGTGGGGCTGTGGTACAGTCGGGGAAGCCATACGCAGACACCTGGGATGCTGCGAGAGCAATTGCGAGTAGGACACCATCCAAACGCTTCATGACAGTGATGATGATGAGGGGACGACGGTGCGTTGAATTAAAAAGGAGCGGTGCTTTACCTGTTAAGTACACATGCGGCGTAGTCGCTGGCCATGCGGGTACGCGTCTTCTTGGAATTGGGACTAATAATATCAGAAAGAAGTCGACCGAATCTGGGGAAGCAACGTAAGAACTCACATGGTCTCCCGTGAGTAATCTTCTCCGGAACATACAGTAGGCGGTCTTTGGCCGGAGGTGGCGTTGAAGATGACAGGAGCACGAGCGAGAGAGCCGTTCAGGTCATCGAAGGGGCGGCATCTGGTCCTGGTTTGACTGTCACAAGTCCATGTCGAAAATTTCGACGGCAAGCGCAGTGGTAGCAACGGATGAATGCACGGTGGACTGAATGGGCCAGGGGTCGCGGATAGTGGGAGGAAGAGGACAGAGGCGGTGAAAGCGATCACTGGCCAGACGCGGGAACTGGGACTTGCCGTCATCGTTTCATCCGGCGAATGGCTTCCAACACTCGATTCAATCTCGGGTACAAGCATACAATCGCTCTACAAGGCCAATACTAGACCCTTGGAACTCACGGATCGACCTCAACAGCGGAACACATTTTGTGAATTTCAGTAACCAACACACAGCACATTCCGAATAGCGTGGTACACGAAAGTGCGAGTAGATGCTCCACAACCGGAGTCGAAAGATAACTCGTATCTTCAAAATTATGGTAGGCTTTTGTTGACCTTTGTTTGACGTTTTGATATGGGGGTTTCCTTTTTGATCTTGGCCTGCGATGTTTATCCCGAATAAACCCCGAACGTGGTAGAATGACACTTGCTGGTGATACGTGCAACTATCTTTGGTGCGTTTTTGTCCTCAGCTAAGCCCTCGGATAAATTATGATATTTTGTAGCGGTGTGAGCTCGAGCCCAATAATATATATGCTAAATTCGATAGAAAGTGCCGGAGCGTAGCTCGGCGTGTCTTGTAGACATTGTACATGTTATCTGGACAGTCTTGCCTATGAGACGAGCGAGCAGAGCAGAAACGATCAGGCTGGGTGAGAAAAATAACTCAGGGGCAGATCGGAGTCCTAGCGAGGTAAACGAGCAAAGGGTAAAGGTCAACTACGCCCGTTCAGCTGCACTACACAAGGATGAGAAAGAGTAACGATCGATGATAAGGTATAGCACAGCTAGCTCGTATAGAAAATGACTACACCAACGAAGCCGGGAGGTGGGATAGGTGATGAGATACGCGACGTACACGGGGAAGGGAAAAGGACGACGAGAGAACAACATCAGGAAAAACCTATGCGTGGTAATTGCCCAAAAGTGTCTCATCTTTCCTATAGTTGTCCAAAATCCACCAAATTTTGGTAAATTTTTCATAATTTGGGCAAGCAGAAAACTTTACAAAACACTGCAGCCCCCCCTTGGTCGTTGTGATAACTTTGCTGAAATCTCCTGGAATTTTGATAACTTTTTTCGTTCTCATAGTCCATGTTTCCCCACATATTGATAGCAATACTACCAAGATCAATGTAAAGTAAGGTAGGACATTAATGAATGAATGTTGGGTGTAATGCATGCGAAGATGTATCAACGCGAAAGCTACTCGTCCGCCATCTGATCCCAGCAGACTTGCGAGAGAACCTCCTTTGCCTCTTGTATTACCGACCAGTTTTGGTCAATGAGCCACTGCAGTACTCGCAATGAGTGGCGAGTATGATGGATGAGATAATGAAACTTACGCACAGGCATTTTAAATATTGTTCATGGTATGGTGGTACCACCTCGGTTCATTCTGAAGTAAGGGATCTGTCGAGACTCAAAGGTTAGAATTTATAAGAATAGTCATAAAACATTGATACAGGACTCGCCTTTGTGGTCAGCGCGCAACATGTCCCGGCTCGATGGACGCCCACCACCACCACCACTTGTACCAGCACCAGCACCGATACTCCTCCACGCCCCCGCCCCAAACAACGGCAACTCGCTCCTTGCCACAGGCGGCAGCAGCTGCTGCATCCCCGGCGCCGTGCCAAACGCCGGAGAAGCCGCGCGCGAGCAGCGCGCCTGCGCCTCGCGGAACGTGGCAATGTGTCGCTCGCCACGCTGTTCTCTCTCGGGCGCGGACACGCGGCCAGATCTGCGCGTTCGCGTTCAGCGCGTACGTCGTCCCGCCGATCTTGAAGTTCAGGTCCGAGAGGCTGCTGTACTGGTCCGAGCTGATCGTCAGCAGGCCCGTGGTCTCGTCTTAGGTGCCGCCCGTTGCGGACTGGTATTTCGAGAAGGCACCTGTAGAGTGCGTTCGCATCAGTTTATCTGCGAAGAGGAGCAAAGTAGAGGTGGAGACGTACCGGAAGCGATGAGGATCAGTGTAGTGCCGTAGTGCCGGTGTCAACGATACCAGCAGTTGAGTCCAGGATCGACGTTGAGCTGTAGCTAATGCTCTGGTCAATACCCCAGTACTCGCTGGCGGGGCTCGTGCTCATGATGGGCACATATGACATTGCCCGTCGTCTTGCTCGTGTCCAGACTCCACGCTACTGAAGCTCGGCTCGCCCGTCGAGTCCGAGCCAGCAGCAGGAGCATAGTAGATACCGAGTACCTCGGTGCTGATTGTGCCCGCCGAGTACAGGTTGTCGGTGACGGTGGGGACAGTGTCCGTGTTGGAAACGGTGCCGCTGGTGAGGTCGGTGGGACTGACACCGAGGATGCCCGTCGACACCGGTGAAGCCCTGGGCGGAGGAAGCGACGCTGACGGACTGTTTGGTGATGGTGAGACCACTACCAAGGGTCACAGTGTCAGTGTACTCCTCGCCGGAGAACAAGCCCGAGCCATAGGAGACTTGCTGTGAAACGGAAGAAAAGAGTTAAGCTGTCTCCACTTTATGTGAACGCCAAGAGAAAATAAACGTACGACAGTGTTGCCGGTGTCCGTGGAAGTGCTCGTGGGGGTATACAACTGGTCGGTGCCAACCCAGGTGTTGGAGCTACCCGTGTCAATCAAGAGCATGTCTGATTAAAGCATGGTAAGCAAAGTATTGACTCACGCATCACCTTTGTAGGCTTTGACTTGACATCCTTGCTTGTTGCTTAGGCATAGATAAACGACTTCATGGGGGGAGGGAAAGAGGTGAGTGAGCGGAAGAGTTGGGATGGGTGCAGAGAAGAATGTCGTGGCAAGGTTGAACCAAAAGTCCAAGTCGCCGTTGCGCAGTTCGGTTCCGAGTCCCATCGGTTCCAATGTATGTGATGGCTACGCGTAGCTAGTCCGCGACTAGCAAATATGACACACATATTTAGTTTAGGGTTAGGGGTTCGTTTACTCAAGCAACTGACAAGCCAAACACAGCTTGCGTAGCCTCTGCGCACTCTGCGCATCCACGACCGCCGCTGTCGCGTTCACCACGGCGACTGTCCTGCTCGTACCCGCCGGCATCTACATGACAATCGACACGCTCCCGCCGTCGCGAGCCGTTGTCTACTACACGCCGAACGTGCCTCTCCCGGCCACTGCACCCCCACCTCCTACTACTACACCTGCTCCCGGCGCACCCGCACCAGCGCTCGTCTCTACAACACCAAATACGTGGGCCTCGCTCGCCACGCCCAACTCGAAGAATTGGGACCCGGGCTGCCCGGTCGTTGCACAGGAGTCGCGCGCCATGAGCGAAGCCGTGCCCGCAACCTCGAGCAGCATCGTGCCCCCGAGCAGCACGTAGACGCCCACAAAATGGGGCCGTGCTGTCCCTTCTCGCTGGGACATTGGAGAATGTCTTGGATGAATGTACGACATTCTATGTTAATTCATTCAAAGATATATACTTGTACTTCAATTTCCAATATATAGTCTACTATACTAGCTGCTTTCTCTGACGTCTCAATGCTTTACATGGCACTACTTGTCTAAAATCCACGTTGCTCCACCCACACGTAATTTACTCAACCAAAATCAAACCGAAACTTCGCAAAACTTCTTGGGATTTTAGTTCATTGTCGCGTTTTTTTTGCTCATTTCCCGCGCGCTGAGAATTTACGCAAATTGTAGACATGTTTCCCTGATTTCCCTCTTTTATTGGCCAGAGGTTTTTCCTGATGCCAAGGTCCAAGAAATCGACGAACAAAAGGCGAGCATAGAAGGCAACCTGTGAGTGAGCTTTGAGCGTAAGCCCATGATTGAAGAGAACGAGCGTAGCAATCGCACCTTGAGGGCCTGCCTCGACATCTCACCCTCCTCGTCTGACTCTTGTTCGTGCCCATGCCCTTGTGGATGCCCTACGAAAACAGTGCTTTGTATGTCCCATACTCGTGCTCCATTCCATTAACCAGCTCTTCCGTGCATTGGACATGTTGCTGCGATGCGCCGTGAGGGTTCAGCAGCCGCTCGCCAGGGTCGGCGCGCTATTCTATGACGCGCAGTTGCCCTTGTACGCCATGTCGTACAGATGGAAGGGAGTATAGTTGAGCATGTATTCGTAATGGCTCTGCCCGCGCAGCGAGTATGGTACCCTCAACCCGCCTTGTTGTGGGTACTGTTGGGGATACTTAGTCGCCAAAGTTTGACGACGCTGATGGCATCGCAGCCGCACGCTGGCTCCGATTCAGACGGCGAGACCCCTGTTGTTCACCGCATAATCCACCATCTCCTGCCCACGAACAGAGCAAAAGAGACGACATACGACATTGTTACTGGAGTAGGGCTGCACCGGAGGAGAGTTATTCTCGGCGGAAGTCTGGATGGTGGTGCTACGACAAGAAAAGGTTAGATATGAGAGGGTAGACGAGGGAAAATGTTGCTGGATGAATGATCTTCGTCACCATAGGCGTCTGCGTCGAGCCAGTGTGTCTCATGCTCGAGATGCAGCATTATCTGTACGATGTTAAGAGTGAGCGTAGGCTAAACGATTGATTCCAGCATAAACGCAGAGGGACCTTGGTGATACCGCACTGCAAGCTCGTAGACGACTGACGACTTGGTCGAGAGCGACGGGAGTGTGGTCAGCGTTGAGGAAAGTGAATGCGGGGGAGTGGAGAAACTCCGCAGATTTTCCGGGTCGGACCGGTGCCGGTTGCTGAACGTCGACATGGAGCTGACGTTTTTGCTGGCAGCCACAACTCACTCCGTTACCCCGCGTCAAATATCGCCCAAAACAAGTTCACTTTCCAATAGTTCTGCCAGTCTCTCCTCGGTGCCCGTCTCCAGCAGCAGTGATTCGTAATCTCTGGCCATGGTCAGCGGACGCCCAGCCGAGGAGGTGCCATCCATCACAACTGTCAAGCAATCGCCTTTCCGAGGTCCTCTTATCAGCACCCTCGAAACGACGCGACGTTCTTGGAGTGTCTAACGTCTAAGGTGCGAGTCCGTCTCTTCCTGCAATCTTGCATGAATGCTTACTCCAGCTCGTACTGGCCGACGTTCTCGCGTACCATATCAAGCCCCCTGTTCTCTCCCAGAATATACCCACCACCTGTCACAGTCAACCTTCAACCTCACTTAAGTATGAAAAAGCGAGAGGTGGCTGAAGGTCCACGCTCGGCTTAACCTCGGCTATTCACATGTGATGAGGATGTGGGGGAGGGACTCCCGCTATAAGTATCTCGTCGGCACACCTGCAACCGTCTTTCCAGCCTTTCCACCACTCACCCAGCATCTCAAGGGCTGAGTTCACGACCGTAAGTCGCTCCTCACCTCCTGCAGACTCACATTGATCAAACCAACCAGCCTCGATAACCCCTATCTCTTCGACTCTACGATTCCGACATGCCTCCCTCCGACTTTGCCAAGGCTGATGTCGACGACATCGTTGAGAAGCTCACCATCGAGGAGGCCATCCTCCTCACTGCTGGTGTCGGCTTCTGGCACACCCACGCCGTGCCTCGCCTAGGCATACCCGCTATCAAGGTACGCAAGCAGCCTTCTCGAGTAGACGTATGCTCTCTCACACCTCTGATCTTCACCTCTATCCCCACACACGTTATTCGACTCCCTGCCATTCTTTCCTACCCATCTGTCCGACAACTATGAATGGCTACTCCCGACACCAAGATGTCCGATGGCCCCAACGGCCTCCGCGGCAACCACTTCTTCATGTCCACGCCCGCCAAATGTCTCCCATCCGCGACCGCCCTCGGTGCTACCTGGGATCGCGAGCTCATCGAGGAGGTCACGCTCCGTCTCCTCGCCGGAGAGGCCAGGACCCGTGCCGCCCCGCTCGCGCTCGCGCCGACGTGCAACATCCAGCGTGTGCGTTCCGTCGATTCTGATCTGATCCCGTCATATCTTATCTTATCTCTTACAGAATCCGCTCGGAGGACGTGTACGTCATATCTCTTGAACCAAACGCCACGCCAAGCTGAAGTTGATCCTTTCTAGGCGTTCGAGTCGTTCTCAGAGGATCCTGTGTTGTCCGGGACGATCGCTGCTGCCTACGTCAAGGGCGTCCAAAGGGGCGGCATCGGTGCCGTTATCAAACACTATGTGTGCGTAACTTCGTGGCCTTGATACATGCAGAAGGTTGATAAGTCCACGACACAGCGCAAACGACAAAGAAAACGACCGCATGGCATACGACAGTGTCCTCAGCGAGCGTGTCCTTCGCGAGGTCTATCTCATGCCATTCATGCTTGCTCAAAAGCATGCAAAGCCTTGGTGCTTCATGACTTCGTAAACTGGCTTTTTCGTTTGATGTTTGACCTCTACTAAATCCCTACGTCAGGTACAACCGTGTCAACGGCACGCACGCGTCCGAAAACAAGCACCTCATCCAGGACGTTCTCCGTAACGAGTGGGGCTTCGAGGGTCTCGTCATGAGTGACTGGTGAGTTCGCTTCTACGAGTGTCTGCGTGACGACCAGCTTAATCGTGGATCAATTAGGTTCGGTGTCTACAGCATCGACCACGCCATCAACGCCGGTCTCGACCTCGAGATGCCGGGCACAAACAAGTGGCGCTCGCTCGACCTAATGCTTCGTTCCATCGGTTCGCGCAAGATCACCGCGCGCACCGTCAAGGAGCGTGCCCGCAAGGTTGTCGAGCTTGCCAAGCGTTGTGCGACGGAGTGCCCCGAGGTGCGCCTTAGATCCCTTCCTTCTTCTTTGACCCCTTCTCACCGTGCGCTTGGTTCCTCTCGTAGATTCTGGATGGTGATGGTATTGAGCGTACCGTCGACCGCGACGAGGACCGTCAGCTCATGCGCCAGCTCGCTGCCGAGTCGATCGTCCTGCTCAAGAACGAGACCGGTATTCTCCCTATCAACCGCGGCTCGCTCAAGGGCAAGAAGGTCGCCATCGTCGGTGGAAACGCCAAGGCGGTCGTTCTCTCCGGTGGAGGCTCTGCTGCTCTCAAGCCCTCGTACTTTATCAGCCCCTACCAGGGTATCACTGCTGCTCTTCCTGAAGGCGTCGAGGTGCTGTACAGCGAGGGTGCCACCAGTATGTGACAGCGGCTTTCTTTTTTTACTACTGTTCTGACTCTACCGGTACAGCGTACATGGAGAAGCCCACGCTCGACTACGAGATGCTCACCGAGGACGGCAAGCCTGGCTGGACGGCCGAGTGGTTCGCGCACGAGAATGACGAGAGTATGACTGCCGTCGCGCAGCCGATGGAGACGCGGTACGTCGATGAGACGCGCATCTTTATTAGCACGTCGTATCCCAACGGCATCACCTTCCGCTGGACGCAGCGTCTCACGGGCTACCTCAAGCCTCGTGAACGCGACTGCGACTTCGAGTTTGGGCTATCTGTCGCTGGTCGTGCCAAGGTGTGTTTGTCTTTCTCGACGTGAACACCCGTGGAACCCATCGCTGACGCGTCGCACAACATATAGCTCTACGTTGACGGCAACCTTGTCATCGACAATTGGACACGCCAGCGCCGCGGCACCTCCTTCTTTGCAAGCGGATCCGCCGAGGAGCGTGGCACGTACCCGCTCAAGGCCGGTGTCAAGCACAAGATCGTCGTCGAGTGGTGCAATGTCCGCGCACCCGCTGACGGGGACGAGGAGCAGCAAGTCATGGACACCAATCCCGGTGTCCGTCTCGGCGGCTCCGAGGTTACCGCGCCCGACGTGCTCATGGCCGATGCCGTGGCGTTCGCGAAGCAGGCAGACGTCGTCATCGCCGTCGTGGGTCTCAACGCCGACTGGGAGACGGAGGGCTACGATCGCGACACGCTCGCGCTCCCCGGGCGGACGGACGAGCTCATCGAGAAGGTCGTCGCTGCGAACCCGAACACCGTGGTCGTGACGCAGAGCGGGTCGAGCATCACCATGCCCTGGGCGGACAAGGTCAAGTCGATCGTGCATGCGTGGTACTTGGGCAACGCCACCGGCGATGCTATCGCAGACGTGCTCTTCGGCGAGAAGAACCCGAGCGGGAAGCTCTCGCTCACGTTCCCCAAGCGGCTCGAGGATATCGCGGCGCACGGCCACTTCCACTCCGAACACGGCAAGGTCTGGTATGGAGAGGATATCTACGTTGTAAGTTCGCAGCTCGCAACGCACCGCCGAGGGTGGAGGTAAAGATAGACGGACGGACTCTGATCGTATGCCTTTCTTCTAGGGGTACAAGCACTTCCACCAACGCGGCATCGAGCCCGCATTCCCCTTCGGGTAAGGCCCGTTCACTCGTCCTCGTCGGTCGCCGCGTCCACAGCATATTCTAATCTTGTCTCGTCTGACGACAGGCACGGCCTCTCGTACACCTCCTTCGAGTACTCGGGCCTCAAACTCTCCGCGCCCTCGGTATCCAACGGCGAGTTCAGCCTCGCCGTCTCTCTCACCGTCAAGAACACGGGCACGCTCGCGGGCTCGGACGTCGTGCAGGCGTACGTGTCCATGCCGAGCACGTCGGAGCTGAGCCACGTGCCGCTGCAGCTGCGCGGGTTCGCCAAGGTGAAGGACCTCGGCGCGGGGCAGAGCGCGCAGGTGAAGATCGAGCTCGACAAGTACGCGGTGTCGTACTGGGAGGAGCGCATCTCGCGCTGGGTCGTCGAGAAGGGCGAGTACGGCCTGCATGTGGGTGCAAGTAGTGGCGATCTGGCGCTCGGCCAGAAGTTTACGATTCAGAAGGGCTTTGAGTGGAACGGTCTGTAAGGTGGACGCCGGTGCTCCAGGGACTCGGCGGGGAAAATGGAATAAGGATTTTGCTGTATACTGTACCAATCAAAATGGTGTATTGTCAGCTGGCTGAAGGTCAAGACATGTCGTCGTAACGGAGAAATGCTCGTCGCAATCGCTGGGCTCTTGTTTGTCTGTGTTTGACTAGCTGGGAAGGCCACGAGGTGCCTTGACTTTTTTGCCTTTCGCACACAAACTCCCAAGTGGCTTTGATTTGTTTCTATAACGAACATCTTCACTTAGACTCCTTCTGTTGTGGAACCCTGCGAAGTCGGGACTCAACGGCTCTGCACATCGAAGCGTATCTCGTCGTCCGAGTCCCGCATGTCGAGCACGACATAAGCAGCGAAAGCACGCTCGACTTTTGTCGGATGGTCTCCTGTTTCTCCCGGTCTTGGCTCTTCTTGGAGGTTCGATCCGCCATCCTTGGCACTGGTATGCTGCGATGTACTGTACGTCCGACATTCCCCCGTCTGCTACGCTCACCTTGATTCGCGTTCTCTAGCTATCTATCTTTACGGAGTATGCAACCACAGGTTTAGATGTTATAAAAAGGCAACAGTCAGATGCGATCACTCGAGTCACTAATAACCCGCTGCAAGCGGTACGCGCATTTACGTCGTCCAATACTTATCAAACGGAAGCCTTAACAGAGGTTAAATGCACGTCGGCGGCCCACCACTACCCCATACAGGGCGGGGACCCTCGAACAGAGTGTATAGTCCCAACGCTTTGTGTATTGCCATTTCAACTTGTTGAGAGTGAGGCGTTCTAGGAACGTATTCCAGCCTCGTCTGGGTAATCTTCGCCCTCGGTCCTGTCCTATCGGAAGTGAACGGGGCTGAGCATCATTGTCACCGCTGACGATCTTCGGTTGCCCCGTTTCTCCCCACTGCGGACAATATATGCACAGCTTCGAGGCTGCTCGAGGCAGGTTGCGGGAAGTGAAGGTTCTCCCGAAATCTTGGCGTTATTCATTGGACCGGGTCGTTCGTAGATCGGGAGATACTTGGTAAGTTTTCCCAGCGTCCAATATTAATGGCGGTAAGCTACCTAAACCGCTTTCGTGCTGACAGGTATTAACGTTTGCAATTTCCAAACACTCATCTTACCCCAAAGTGCGGACACTGCTACCAAAGGCTAGGTCTGGCTTTGTGGCTTTAGATGGAGAACTAAGCATGGCCACCGTTTCTTCGAAACATCGTTCCGTCGGCGCAATATCGATCGGCGCTCATCACAATAACTCGATCACAGGGAACACCCTTACCATCTCTTACTATCAGGAACAGTCATTCCGACCTGATCTGGCGCCGGCCGCGTCCGATAGCATTATTAGGGTGTCACTGTCAGCTGCTTGAGTAACAGCGCTATCGGAGATGAACAAGATGCTGCTGACATCTCCATCAAACATCCCTGAAAGTCACGATACAGTCTGTACATGAACGCCTTCCCTTCCTCCTGCGAAATGTTGCACCCGAACTAATCCGTCAAGAGACGCTCGATCCTCCAGTATAAAAGAGATGGGCGAGACCATCTAAACGTCATCCTCCAGCTGTTCTTAGTCCAACCGCCTATTCCGCACACAATGAGCTCCACTCTCGGCAGCATTCCTACCACCCAGCGCGCTGCTCAGATACGCGAGTTTGGCAAACCCCTCGTTGTCGACTCCAACTTGCCCGTACCTTCTCCCGAATCGCTCGCCCCCGGAGAATGCCTCGTCAAGATGGAGTGCGCAGGCGTCTGCCAGAGCGACCTTCACGCGCGCAACGGTGACTGGACGCTGAAGCCTAAGCTCCCGCTCATTTGCGGGCACGAGGGCGTCGGCCGCGTCGTGGCGATCGGTAAAGATACGTACCAGGCTGAATGCGCCGTCCGGCTTGGTGATCGCGTCGGTATCAAGTGGATGGCACGTGCATGCCTCCGCTGCGAGTGGTGCCGCAAGGGCGATGAAGCCTGTAAGCGCTGTGATCCCCCTATTTGATGTCGCTGTGCTCAATATCTGATCATCACAGGCTGTCCGTCTCGCAAAGTCCATGGCTTTGGCATTAACGGCACTTTTGCGGAGTACACAGTGAGCGCGCTTGATGTCTAGATGTGAACACCCACTTACGATATACTCCAGGTAACGTACATCGACTATGTCACCCCCATCCCCGCAGAGGTCAGCAGCGAAGAAGCTGTTCCCATTCTGTGTGCCGTGAGCCCAGTATCTCCCCTTATTGTTATCTAGCTCACAAGGAAACTTCACAGGGTCTTACGGTATACAAAGGACTGAAGCAGTGCAATGTTCATATCGGAGACTGGATTGCCATACCGGGAGCGGGTGGCGGACTGGGCCATTTGGGTAAGTCTGAGTGACCCGCAGTGATTGTCGCGGCAGTGTCTCATTCAAAACCGCAGCCGTACAATACGCCGTCAATATGGGTTTGCGCGTAATTGCAATTGGTCAGTCAACGAGTGGGGCCCGACCTCGTCACGTTCTGACTTGTATCATCCAGACGCCGGAGATGCGAAGCGCGACTTTTGCTTGAGCCTTGGAGCGGAGCACTTTATCGACTTCCGCGAAAGCATTGACCTCGTTCAAGACGTTATTGAGGCTACGGATGGTGGACCTCATGCAGCCCTGGTCACCGCAGGAGGAGTACAGTTCTTCACTTCGTCTCAGTCTTCAAATGCTGACGGCGTACAGTCATTCCCGTATGAACAAGCACTTGTCTATCTGCGCCCATCTGGGACGCTCGTAGCCGTCGGACAGGGATCCGATGACGCCATCAAGGCACCATTTGCGTTGTTGGTGGGCAAGGTTCGTACACTTTAGGTCATTCTGTTCGGGAGCCTGCTTGAACCCGAATCTACGCTATATGCGCTCTTGCTCTCTCACATTGCTTCGATGCTGATTCGTCTATCTATGAACAGCGGCTCAAGATTGTGGGCTCAGCGCTAGGGTAAGTGATAGTCCATTGGTCAGATAACCAAAGTGGTCACCATGTTGACGGCATTATCGTTTTGATTCATTTTTACCATCATCTGGGCGGTGCCGACCATTATCATAGAACACGACAAGATGCCATTGAAGCTCTTGATCTCGTTGCACGGGGCAAGGTGGTTACCCAGTACACTACTCGTCCTCTCGAGGACGTTGACAGGTAGCTCTGACAACGACGCAGCTGATGATTTGCTGACATAAAACATCACTACAGCGTCTTTGAAGACCTTGCAGCAGGGAAGGTCACTGGACGAGTCGTGCTCCAATTTTAGAACTGCAACAACTGAACGACTCCTCTACTACTCGCGGCGTACTTACGATTGGGGGTATTGAGTTGTGTCTATAGATTCTCTCGTTACAGCAGTCTGTAAATCTATTTAATTGTCAGTGTACATCTCTTTATCTAGAGTGGTTTTGAAAGTGACTGGTCATGACCAACGACAAGGCCCGGGGTAGCGGAGACCTTGAAGACAGGGGTGAGCATAATTAGCATTAAGGGGTTTTCCATGTCTGGATGTTCTCGATTCGCTTTAAAGTTACATCTGTACCACCATCAGCCTCCCACTCCCACTCTCCTGGCTGCCTGTAAAGAACTACGTTATAGTCGACACAAGTCATCCCGTTCGCGCGAAATCGTTATGTAAGTGAGAATCATATCGACACCATCCGAACGGCAAGGGGGTTACTTCTCAACATTAATTCAATCTATGGTACGCCCGCGATGATCTTGAACACCTCCCGTTATAATCTCGATGTGCATTGGCGAACTGCAATATCTACGCAATCGCGCTCGGGAGGCAAGTCGCAGGTTCTCACCGAGTTTCAAAAAGTATTTCGCTTCAATGAATCGATATGATGTACCCGCTTGTTGGAATGTACGCCGGGCACAACATATAATGGGCTGGTTCTTCCACGAATATCGATATCGTCTCACTTCTATCTCCCCTCTGAGGTCCCTCAAACAACCATATACTAGAGCTGCATAATGGCGTCATCCACCTTCGACATCCCTCGGACCCAGCGCGCAGCCCAGGTCTGCGCCTACGGCAAACCTCTCGTCATCAACCCGTCTTATCCTGTCCCCTCTCCCGAGTCCCTCGCACCTAACGAATGTCTGGTCAAGCTCGAGACTGCTGGCGTGTGTCAAAGCGACCTTCACGCACGGGACGGCGACTGGGAAGGCCTGAGGCCACCTCTCCACTTGGTATGTGGCCATGAAGGCGTTGGCCGCGTCGTCGCTATTGGTGCAGGGACCCAAGATAGCTCCGTACTCATTGGAGACCGCGTTGGGCTTAAATTCATGGCGCGTACCTGTCTTCGGTGTGAGCTCTGCCGAAAGGGAAACGAAGCATGTGAGTTAAACTGCCGCTGCTATCGGTGATGCGTACTTTGTTGCTAACGAAGGTCAACCAGCCTGCCAGAGTAGCCAGGTCCATGGATTTACTGTCGATGGAACATTTGCTGAATACGCTGTGGGTAATTTAATTCTCTTTCATATACATGCATTATAAACTACAGTCAAAACTATAGGTGTCGTACGTTGACTATGTCACACCGATTCCAGATGGTCTCTCGAGCGCAGCTGCAACTCCTATCCTGTGCGCGGTAAGCAATCTCTGAGTCCTCCAACATGAGAAGCATTGTGCTGATGTATGCTTAGGGTCTCACCGTTTACAAGGGCCTGAAACAATGCAATGCAACTGCCGGAGAATGGATCGCCATCCCCGGTGCTGGTGGTGGACTCGGTCATCTCGGTGAGCCCGATTTCCGACTGACGAGGCCCTCTGATGTGACGTCGTCTGCTACATAGCTATTCAATATGCAGTGAACTTGGGCTTGAGAGTCGTCGCCATAGGTGATGCCGTCACTTGATCCTCCGCCGACCTTTATATCTAACATAAATTCACAGATACTGGCGACTCAAAGCGTGACCTATGTCTTAGCCTCGGTGCTGAGAAATGGATTGATTTTAGAGAGAGCATTGACCTCGTTCAGGATGTCATAGAAGCGACAGATGGTGGCGCTCACGCTGCTCTGGTTGCAGCAGGCGGCGTGAGATGTTCTTTCGCTGATCTTTTAATACCTTGACTCACCCCGCTTCCCAGGCTGCGCCGTACGAGCAGGCGCTGTACTACCTCCGCCCTGCCGGAACCTTGGTTGCTGTGGGGCTAGGCTCTGGAACAGCCGCTATGAAGGCCCCAATAACCGTGTTTGTAATCAAGGTATGTGGGTGTCAATGTTTGTTCTAGCTGTCAATTGACAGTATCATAGGCACTCAAGATTGTTGGCTCTGTGTTAGGGTATGTCCCATAGTGTTCTTGTCGGTCACATGCACACTGACATCCATCAAGAAATAGGCAAGATGTGATAGAAGCCCTGGACATGGCGGCACGCGGCAAAGTGGTCACGCATTATACAACCAGACGTCTGGAGGACCTTGACAGGTGGGTCTTGTCGAAGTCGTGTCATCCAGCTCTCCGTCTGATGTTGACCATTAAGCGTGCTGCACGAGCTCGAACAAGGGAAGATAACAGGCCGAGTAGTCATCGAATTTTAACCCCTGCATTCAACAAGTTCGAAGTTGTCCCCTTATGGAAGATATAGAATACAAGCGTAGACGTATTATTCTCAGTGTAATCCCTGTATAAACCGGCCCGGCGCGATTGTAACCGTTGATTGACTCGTTTGAACATAATATGAAAGATGTAATGCAAGCAATGACATTTGCACAAGGTTTCTGCCGGAGTCTCTCATGCCTGTCTTTCTGAGTGCAGTGGCAAGGACTCTCTGACATGATAGATTTTCCCGACCTCGTGCAAATTCGTCCATGTGGATACCCTTACGCGTGTCACCTTTGATGTTTCGGAGCTCCTATCTTGCAGACGTGTGTCCCGTAAGACCGATATCCGGAAGCGTGCCTGATGGTCACTTTGACAGGTTGTGTCCGCTCTAAATGTGGGCACTTCTAATTTTCTCGAGACAAAAGGGCGTTGTTAATCTAGCCGAGCATCTTGTGAACCTACGTCAAGTGCTGCATATAATGATCACTGGCCTTCGCATATGAACTATGAGGAAAGACTTGAACAAACGTCTGGCTGGACGGTCGCTGCGGGCATTTTATCAGTTTACAGTTTTACGTCGGAGACTGAAAACGTCTGTCTTGAGCTTCCCTTCATTGAATCATTTACGGATACGCCTCCCCACAAGGTAAGATTAAAACGAGGTCCTGCAGATCTTGTGACTGATTGACGTTTGTTGACGTTGTTGGTCCACATGAACCTGGAGATGCGACCTGCCACGACTGTCAATCTTTTGTGCGGAGACAAAGCGGGGCGCTCGTCATTTCTCAGCGCTTTCGACGACTTCAATGTCGAGAGCTGTCGAGAGCATGGTAACCTCACGTCTGGTCGTCTCATGGACATGATTGTATACATAGGGACATTTAGTGGACCCCGCGGTCGTTACATCGAGGCCATTCCTGTCAACACACGACGTCTTCGCTTCCGACATCACTGATGGATTTGCTGAGATCTACATTATGTCCACCTTGCGCACCTTTTACCAGACACTCTTGGCTTCAACTGGCGCTATAAAGGCTGCTCGAAGTCGTCGTGAAGGAACTCACCCTTCCTCATCTTCTTCTGAGCCTAAGGATGGTCAAGTCCCTCGCACCTCTCGCTCTCCTCGCGGCTGTTGCCGTCGCCACCCCCGTTGAGCTCGCTAAGCGCTCCGACCCGCTCGGTATTGACGTCTCCGGCTACCAACCCTCCGTCGACTGGTCCACGGTCAAGTCCAACGGTGTCACTTGGGCGTACATCAAGGCCACCGAGGGGACCAGTAAGTTCTCGACCGTTCTTTCACCACGCACTACAAGGATCTAATATCGCCATACAGCCTACACGAGCCCCTCGTTCAGCAGCCAGTACGACGGCGCTACCAAGGCTGGCATCATCCGTGGCGCGTACCACTTCGCGCACCCCGACTCCTCGACTGGTGCTGCCCAGGCCGACTACTTCGTCAAGAACGGCGGTGGCTGGTCTGGCGACGGTCTCACCCTCCCTGGCGCCCTTGACATTGAGTGTACGTCCATATCATTGTCTGCTTCGACCCACGGACTCACCGTATTGCCGACAGACAACCCCTCTGGCGCCACCTGCTACGGTCTGAGCGCATCCGCCATGGTCTCCTGGGTCAAGTCCTTCTCCGACGAGTACCACTCCAAGACCAGCCGCTACCCCGGTGAGTCGCCCGCCTGCCACCCGTGCACGTTCACAACGCTGACTCCTCGGCACCTGTGCAGTCATCTACACCACCACCGACTGGTGGACCCAGTGCACGGGAAACAGCGCCAGCTTCGCGACCAACAACCCGCTCTGGATCGCGCGTTACTCGTCCTCGATCGGCACGCTCCCAGCCGGCTGGGACTACGCCACCTTCTGGCAGTACGCCGACTCGGGCTCGAACCCTGGCGACGCGGACAAGTTCAACGGTGACGCGGCCGGCCTCAAGAAGTAAGCACCCGTTATTTCACTCCATTCGGTATCATTAATCAAGCTGACGACTACTCCCTCCAGGATCGCGACTGGCTAAACGTCTTCGCAAGTATATAAGTAATCTATCTATATGTAACCTGTCAAGCGCTCGGCGAATCAAATACCAAACCCAATTGTCGAGTAAGCCAGCGTGCCCCATATAAAGCAGGCTGTGAGCAAGTCATATGCATCACTGCGCGGTACGATTATGTTGCGGTGTTCATCAAGAATTGGTGTTATCTAATTACCACTTTGCTAACAAAGCCTAACGCGCCGCTCTATTGGAGAAGTGTAAACCAAAGCCCCATTCACCAGCAACGAACCCACGATCCACGAAGCCAAGGGGACCAGACCGTTGCAAGTCCAGACCCAGTCAAACCAGATAACAGATGGCCATCGTTCTTTATAATGCCCGAAAAGAATAATGCGCTCGCAGCTACAACAGTAAAAAAGACAACGGCAACGATAACGATGAACAGCAAACAACATACAAAAAAGTACGAGAAAAGGGAATATGTAGTATACCTTGGGGGTGATCAAAATGACAACTCTAGAGTAGACGTAGACGGGTGTAGTATGAACGTGCGGGTGGAGCAATATCAGAGTTGGAAATGTGGTGCACGTGAAGTATATGAGGGTGGAATAAGCACAGCTCAACGGCCTCTATCGAGCCAAAGACGAAGCAAAGAAACAGCCAGCAAAAAACATGCGCACGCCAATTAAAGAGCGCGTCTCACGACGGCTTCGGCGGCGGCGGCTTCTTCGGCGTCGCATTCTCCTTCGCCCCCGCCGAGCTCGGCACAGGCGGCGCACCCAGTATCGGCGGCTTGTTCCCCGCAGCATCCTGCACGCCCTGCGTCTCGCTCTCGTCCATCGACAAGCCCGGGTCGTCGACTGGCTTCATCGCGTCCCGCTCCGTCGCGTCCAGCACCGCATTAGTCGCGTCCGCCCCCTCCGCGGTCTGCTGTACAGCCTTGCCGCGCTCTGCCTCGTCCTCCTCCGCGCGCCGGATGACGTCGATCTCGCCCTGCACGACCGTGCCCTCGAGCCACGAGTGGTGTACGAGCTCCGATGCCTTAGCGCGGCGGTCGGGGTATAACCGGAGCATGGGGTTGAGGAAGGAGGCGATGGCGTCGGCCTCCTCCTTGGGGAAGAGATACTTGTCATGTAAGACCGACTCGAGCGGCCAGAAACGAAGCTTGTTAATGTGCCGGAGTTCACCTTGTGTAGTAAGCCAAGTTCGAATGTTTGTGAAAGTTGGAGGGCGGATGGTACTAGGTTAGAGTAAGCAAACAAATAAAGCGGGGGCGCGCACCTTTCCGATTGAAAAACTCCGAACTATACTTCCCCGCAAACGCGATCGCCTTGGGAAACTCGCCCATCAGCTCGATTATCTGCGCGATATGGTCGTCGTCCTTGCTGTACCGCGCGCCCGCTGCGGGGTCGAAGAGGTAGTCGCCGCCAGTAATCAGCTCGAAGATCTGGTGGCCATGATTCAGCGTCAGACTCCAGGCCACGAGGACAGGTAAAGGCAGCAAAACCGTTGAAATGAAAAGGGTCCGTGTGTTGTATGAAAGATAAGAAAGACGGGAGAAGAACGTACGACACATGCAACACTCCAGACATCCGCACTGCTCCCCCACTTCGCGCCAAGAATTACCTCCGGACAGCGGTACTGCCGGGTCTGGATGTCGTCCGTGAAATGGTGCTCGACCCATGTTGCTATGATCACGACAACCCATATCGGAAAAATAAACGTTTAGGTGGATATGGGAAAAACACAAGGGGTCACGAGAGCAGATTCAGCACATGTGTCCAAGCGAGATAACGCGTCGGACCCACTGACCATTTCCAAGATCTGCGATCTTGACGGTGATCTTCTCGTAACCCTCAAAGATGCTGGATGACGTCGTCGACTCAATCGTGCTGTGCTTCGCCGAGTCCGTTGACAGCGCGGATGACGAGAGTGGTGGTTCGGTTGCGGCCGTCGCCCCTGTCTCCGACGGGGCGCTCATTGAAGGAGGGACGACCTGAGGCGGCGGCGTCGCCGATGATGAAGCTGGTATAGCGGGAGGAGCGGATGTAGCGCCAGCCGGTGGAGCCATCTGCGAGAGCAATGACGGTCCGGATGGCTGAGCGGGGTGAGGCGTCGTCTTCTTGAATCCAGGATCCAGCGAGACATTCGATATCCGCTCTGCAGTCACCTCGGTGGAATCTGCGCGTTTGCTCTGCTCCGCTACTCCGTTCCCTCCTGTGCCAACTGCCTCAGTGATCGATATCCTCGACCCCTCCTTGCTGATACCCGTGGACCCGAATGAGGCAGGCTTGGATCCAGTGTCGGAGCTATCGATCTTGCTCATCCCAAAGGCGAGCTTGTCGAGCATGGGGCTGGTTCCGAATGAGGACGACGGAGACGGGAGAGGCTGCGAACCCGTGATGAATACTGATTCCGAGCGTGGTGTCTGGTTCCCTCCGCGACCTTTTGACGGGGGCACGCCAACGAGTCGGGTCGGTGGAGAGGTTGCGTTGGCTGCTGCAGTGAGCTCTGCTTGGATGATGGACTCGACGTCGTCGATGCAGATGAGCACGTTTTCGGGCTTGAGGTCTATTATTTTCGAGCGAGGAGGTCAGACGTGCGTCAATTGCGTAAGCCGATAGAAATCGATCAAAAATTGGACTTGGAGGAACCGAAGAGAGGAAGAGAATGACGCACCGGTGTGGATGACTCCGCAGCAGCGGTGCATGTAATCGAGGCCAAGGAGGACCTGCTTCGCGATCTGCTTGACGAGAGGCATGGGTACGCCCTTGTTCTGATGACGCTTGATGAGACCGAGCAAATTTTCGCCGAGGACCTCGAAGACCATGCATACATGGACGCCGTTGGGGCCCTTGTGTCTGAAGTGGTCTAGGAAGGAGATGACATGGGAGCGACCAGAGTGTGTCTGGGATGGGGAGGGTGTTGGATTTGGGTTGTCGGGAGTGGGTGCGACGGGGGGCGTGGATGAGGTAATTAGGCGCTGCAGAAGCTTGATCTCGTCAAGGGCAGTTTCTGTGTACCTAGGGGCAGACTTGACGATCTTGAGGGCGACATGGCGATTCATCCTATGCGGTAAAGGGGCGCGGTCAGATCGCGTGGTTTGTGGGGCATGCCGCGCGGGATCTTGGGTACTCACTTTGCGTCCTTTGCCAGCCATACTGTTGAAAAGTGGCCCCAGCCTAGTTTTCTGACGACTGTGTATCGTGCGTCGGAGAAAGTGTCGCCGATTTGGACTGGGTGGTAGCCTCCCTTGACGTAGTCCTCCCAGTCCTCCTCGTCTTCGGTCATGATGGATTGGGAATGAGAGGAATAGGAACCGTGTGACATCTTGGCTGGTCGGGTATGCTGCATACAGGCTCGATAAGCCGCCGTCCAGCCCCACGATAACACTAGAGATAGCAATAAAAGATAAGCCTTACCGCCGCTTCTAACAAGGGTATAACACGTTCCCGTGATCTGCCTCCCTGTCTTCTAAGCTCTGCGCCTGGTTTGGTCGGCGCTGGGTAGATGGTGGGCGGTGAGCGAGAGGGTTGTGTCGCTCGTCGAGCACGAGGACGACGTGCGCGAGAGGACTGAGGCGTGCACAGCGACGCTTATCCAGAGTCTCATAGCCAAGAAAGGAAACTCAGGGGCCTTGCCTCATGTGATTCGCTTTCCCCCATAACAACTCGCATTTCCTCTCTCCGTCCCTTTGCCCAACCGCGAGCTCGTCATAACAGACTTGTAGCGACTCAGGCATGATCTGGGCGACATCGTTACCGATTCTTACCTCAGTCAAACATTCAGCCTTTGTCGTTACCCTCCAACCGCACCATTCGATATCGCCTGCACGAGACTAGAATCCGAGTGACATATTCCAGCAGTATGGAAGCATTCAGAGTTTTGTAGAGTGAATAGAGGTTCGCCGTCGCCAAGTCTCTACCGAGTCGACATCAGCGTCACATCACCGTCCCGGAAACTTGTCGGCGCCGCCACGGCGTCAGTGGCGGTGCTTTATTTGGCGGGCAAATACAGCTCCGCTCCGACCGAGCCGGACAACTTCAACCATCTCGCTCATGGCACGCAGCCGCCTGAAACTCTTACAAGCTTCCTGAGCTGAGCAAGCACATAAGCACGCGCATCATCAAGTGATCAAACGTCTAACACCCGCCGCATCACTGCCTTGACCGCTCAGCGGCATGCTAATCCTCGTGCGGATGCGACGTTCACAGCACTTCCGTCCTTCTATACAGTCTTTGTCCATTCTTTTAGTGCGCTAAGAAGGATTGAGGTAAACATTTGTCCTTATCCAGGGATAGACACTGCCTGTGTGCATCACCTTCACACCTCGTGTCTCCACTTCCTTGATGACGAACCTCGATCAACTCTTTGCACTCCCTCGCCCCGCTTTCGCGCCTCTTCGCAACGTGCCTCTCCAATTCCTCACCCTCACCGTCGGTACGCCTTGTATGAAACCTCTCAGCTCGTCCAATACAACTCACAGCCGCTCTCACACGTTCCGCTTCGCACCTCTCCCAGGCGTTCCACTGATCACGCCGCGAACACGTGTTCTCATCACCGTGGACGCGATATAGCACACTAGCACCAATATTGACCTAGTCACAAGTCCACATAGGCCCTTCTTCGCCCTTTTCACAAGCACTCAAAGCCTGTCCACTGGCCAGAATGATGCGGTCATCGTCAGCCACCCCCTTCTTCGCCGACCGGCTCAACAGGCTCAAGGTTTACACGAGGCTTCTCTTCCCTTCTATACGCTGCTCTGTATTCATCTCCCCCAGCACCGTCTCGTAGCTGGCTCGACTCCACCAGCTACTATACTTTGCAATACACCCGGGTTCCATCGACCCCGAGTCCCCCCATCCATTTGCCTCGAGTCGAGAACGTTAACGTTTCATTAGGAAACGGCATTCCCCGCCCTTTATTAGTCTGCGGCACGTCCCTGGCCTTCTTCCCCCCTGTCTCTCGTTCTCGAAACGTTGACCCCAGAGGCCACCTGAAAGGTGCCGATGAACGACGATGTCCCCGTTCGATGAGCTCACAGACGAGCAGAGGTGCGTACGCTACCTCCATCCCCGTTGCTTCATCTGATCTAGATTGGACATGTGTATGACGCCGTGTATGTACACGCATGTGCAGGTATGACATCGCCTACAACCACCCGGAGGACGTCAACTCCCTCCCTTCGTCGCCCTCCGCTCACGAGCTGGAGAACGAGCAACACGACGACCCGCGCACCGACGGCAGCGGCGACACCCCGGACTACCTCCGTCCGCGTCGGCGGCGCCCGTCCAACGCCCACTCGAACGCGCAGCAGTCACATGCGACGACGGCGGCGGCGTCGCACGCCCAATCCAAGACGACCAGCCGGCACCGCTCGCGCACGACGAGCGACGTCTCCACGAGCATGCTCCTCGCGCGCCTGATCGCGCGGGACGACGACGCCCGGCGCACGCAGGCACTCCTCGCGAGCGCGACGTCCCGTATCGAGGCCGAATCTTCTCGCGCGAATACCTCCGAGCGGCGCGCGCTCGAGCTGCTCGGGCGGTTCAAGACCGTCGTGGAAGCGCGAGAACGCGCAGACCTAGATGTGCAGCGGCTGACGGGAGAGCTGAAGCTGTACAAGGACCAGCTGGAGATGGCACAGAAGGAGATCTTTCGAGCGCAGGATATTATCAACGAGGTGTCGGCGCAGAAGAACGACGCGGAGGAGGAGGCAGCGAGGGCGAGGACAAAGGCGAGGAAGCTGCAGGAAGAAAAGATGGTGATGATGGCGAGAGAGGAGGGTCGCAGACAGGGGTACAAGGAGGGTTTGTCGGTCGGGCGGAGGATCGCATACGATGAGGCCCGGTCGAGCTACTACGGGAGCAGTCGAGGCGGGAGACAGTCCCATCGCCCAGTGATCCAAGAAGATGACGATGATGATGATGAAGGCGGCAACAACGCTGAGAGCAGGCGCCAGGACAGGGAAGAAGATCCAGCAGAGGTGTTTGGGCGGAGAACCTCGCGCGCAACAAGGTCGTCTCGTGCGGATACCAGAACATCGACCCGAGTCGAACTGTAAGCATCCTTGCTTTCATCATCGTGCCGGACACGATATACTTATAATCGCTGCCTTGCAGCTCACGCCCTGGCTCCGCACCCCCTGCCCCCACTTTCGACACTGCGCCCATCGCACCAGCCCCGCCCGTACCAACACTCGTCACACCTCCCCCTATCCTCTCGCCCTCGCACGTACCCAGCGACGAGCTGCTCGAGTCCATCGCTAACTTCAACTCCAACACCTCCAACACTAGCAACAACTCACTCAACAACGGCTCTGGCCCCGAGACAATCCGCCCACTCCCCATGCGCCCCACAGGCACACCGAACACTCCCCGGCGCTCGCCTTCACCCGCTGCCGCAGACGGCTGGATCCCCGAGGCGGATGCACGCACATCTTACATCCACGTCCCGCCGCCGCACGAGCTGTCGGGAACAATGCCGATGCCTGCGTCACACCAACATGCTCAACACGAGTTCTCGGAATCGGTCCCGATCTCCATCGCGCCGAGTCCGCCGCAGGCGAGACACATATCTGAGCCAGACGAGACGGGGTATCCGGCTAGGATGCCGTCGTACGCGAGCAGGAGCAGCCGAGACAGGGATAGAGACAGGGATAGAGACAGAGATAGAGACAGAGATAGAGATAGAGAGCGGGAAAGGGACAGGGACACCAGAGAGCGCAAGCACCGCTCGCAGGACACCTACCCCAGCATGCGCTCGCGCGACTACGCGTACAGGCCCATGACGGTGCCTCCCCCCGGAGCCGAGGCGAAACCAGGGCCAGGGCGGGGAATGTCCATGCCCATGCCTGTTCCTCAGCAATACCAGCAACAGCAGCAGGCACCTCGACGCGCGCCAACGCTCGCTGCGGACGTGATGTCCCCGACGTCGACGCACATCTCGCAGTACGATCTCGTAAGCGCGCCTGGGACTGGGTCGCAGGGGCGCAGACCGAGCGTGACGATGCGGTCTGATTGGGGACCTGATCGCTCGCATACGGCGAGTGTCTTGGATAGCTTGATGAGCTCGCGGGGTAAGACGCCGCGTAGCGATCGCGAGCGGGAGAAGGAAAGGGAAAGGGAGAGCGAGCGGATGCGGGAGTCGAGGCAGGCGGACTCGCTCGTGGAGAACTGGAGAGTGGATCCGGATGTGGTGTCGACTACGACGCCGGCGTCGTTATATGTACGTGTTCCGCTTTGGTGTGCAGGTGAAAGCGACTGACAACCATGCGTTGCAGCAACCATCTCTTGCACAGTACTCGTCTGAAGCACCCCATGTTCAGCAGTATGCTTCGCAGCCTCACCAAGGCCAAGAACAATCTTATCCACCTGCACCTCGTGCGCAAGACACTCCATACCAGCAACAGACATACGCGTCAGCGAGCACTTCAAGTCGTCAGACTGCGCCCATGCCCCCGTATCCGTCAGGCCCCCCACGTCCACGGCAGGTCGTCATGCCAGAGCCGCTGGCCAACCGAACTATGAGCACGGACAACGTGCCCCCGTCGGCTCGGCCGCCACTCCCACCGATAGCCATCCCGCAGAAGAAGCGCTCGCCGCTTGACTACTTCAGAAAGAAGAGGCCACGCATGCCGTCAATGAACAGTGTCCCGAACATCATCGTCGAATCTCCGGTGAGTATCTTCTTCTTTTCAACTGGCATCTACAGTCACTTACTTTCTCTTACGACAGTCCGAGTCAGCGTCAAGCAATACAGGTGAAACACAGCAGCCCGAGCTGCTCACTCCCGAATCCGCGCACAATCATGCACCACTGCCCTCCGTGGAGCGCCTCGAGACCGAACCCGCACAGACGCGCGAGCCATCGCCCAACCCGTCGCCACTCTCGGGAGTCCCACAGCTTCCGTCAGGCTTTGACACATTTGACCAGCGTCAACAACAACCTCCATCGCATGCGCAGGCTCAGAAGCAGCCGTACCCTCCCTCACGGACTCAAATCCAGACGCAGCCTCAATCCCAATCTCAAGATCCCAATCAGACCCAGCTCATGCGCCCTCCCACGCGCTCTAGCAGCCGTGCATCCGGCAGACAGCATCGGTCGTACGCGTACGAAAGCGCGCCTATGCCGTCTGGCGTTATGTACCCTGGGCCGCCGAGCCGTCAGATGCCGACACAGAAGGGCGGTGGCAAGGGCGATAAAGGCGGGCTAGCGGTTGACCCTCCCAGACACCCGACGCAGAGCGTATCGCCTGCGCCGCTCAACCGCCCGATTTCGTTGTTCAACGAGCCTTGAGTTCAGGGTTCCATTCATCTTTGTCTCAGAGCGTTTCTGGCTAAACGTCTCTCCATCGACTTCGTTTCATTCATATATGCATTTACTTTCCACCCTTCCTTTTCTCTATGCATTTATTGTTCGATATGGCGCCGAGTATGATTTCATGCTTCCATGCTTTCATCCCATGTTTCTCCCCTCCAGCGGTCAATTCAAAAGCATTCATTCCCCAGCGTCGGTTGTCCAGGTTTGTGGCTTCTCGCTCCCTCCATCGCATATTTATCACACATCCTGTACGGTATTCCAGTTTCGCACAAAGGACGCTGTTGAAATAGCTCAGTAGAAATGTACTTTCTTCGCATTCTTGTACAGTTGCAGCCCAGGCCTAAGATAGAGCCCGTGTGTTCGTCCATCACTAATGCGCCCGACGGAAGGCCGCTCCTTCCGAGAAGTTGAATCGGAGACTGAAATTTGTTTTGTCGCGGAGGTGGTCGAGGAAAAGAGGCGATCACGACAAAACGTGGAGCGCTCCACTCGTCTCGACTCCCAGGAACCGAGGGCACAGAAAGCGAAGCGAATCCCAGAGTCGGTGACGCAGCGCGAGAGCAGCAACCCTGACCGAGATGAGCGGGGCAGTAACCCGCGCTGGCTGTGCTGGACGAAGCTGATAGCCTCCAAGGGCCGTTCCTCGTTCCCCACACGTCCCGGCGCTTCTCAGGCCATTTCGGACCGTTGCATTCCGACGGGTTGGTTGTGCCGCGATCCTGCAGCCATCCAGCCGTCGTTCCACTGCCGCTGGCGGCACCCGCGTGCATGACTCCAGCCCTTCAGATCTTCAGAGCCGGCCAGCCAACGGCGAGCACTTCACACACTGATCCTTTCTGATTTGAACTTTATGCGCTTCTCTGAACTCTTTCCGCCGCGACCATGCTTGTCAGATTCGAGGACCGGAGGTCTAGAGCTAATCAAATACTCTTACCTGTCACCGGCCGGAGACTCGGCCACCTGCACGGTGCTCAGGAAGCCCAGAATCGGGAACGCTGCTTGTCAATGGGGCGTGTCCCTTCGGCTTGCCAATTTCATACGTGGAACGTGGTTCTCGCCTTTTGCGCGTTGGTCATTGCGCAGATCACTTTTGATATGTACAATAGCGAGTACACAGTATGCTCAGCTCAGAAACGGCAATGGACCCTCGAATTAAGAATGTAGGAAGTGGCCTCCTTCAGGATGAACTCAGGTTTTTTCAAAGGCCATAACAACACCAACTGCTAATCACAGGCAACCGAGGCGTCAGCCAACCTTGGATCACCTGGTAAGCACACATCACAACAACTCTATCTCGATTGCGACTCACAACACGGTCGTACAGGATAGAGTTCGTCGAAGGAAGCCGCTCTCTTTCCCAAGTGCGGTTCTACCGACGTATGGATCTGGTCCTAGTTCCAGCCGGTTTCGAATTCAGTACCAATCCCAGGATAGCCCTGCGATAACGAAGTTTACTCGAGTAAACGCCTTTCGTACTTTCCGCACCCAATCCCTTGACGTATGAAGTATTCTTTTACCAAGGTCACCATGATCACGCGCTGCTCTCTGATCCGCTACCAAGTGGCTTCGTCGTCCCACATGCGGTAAGGACACCAGGCAGAACAGGCAGTCCAATGCTCAAATTATTTCCTTTCTTATGCCTGCAGCTTCTGCGCGCCTAGACTTCTGCTGCGCAACGTGGTATTTGATAGTTGACGTGAAAAAGTACAAGGGATCCGCTTCCTAATTTCCGAAAACGCGGGGTAAGCGCTACATGGGCAGTGGTAATTCGTTCAAACTTCGTGGACCTGGGCCAGGAACGACGCCACGTTCCCCCGCTCTACAAGTCGATTTAGTTATTATCACGTAGGACGCTCAAAGGGGATATGCGTGCTGCTCTAGGCTGATGTCAAGTATATTTTCTCAAGCGTTGGTCGCCTGGAGGGAGAGCCAGATGCAGTACACCATGATGAGGACGGGTCCCATGATCAATAGCGTCAAAGTTGTTGGCCGCTTTCACAGCACCTAGTGCGACGTATAGTCAAATATGACTTGAAGGAAATTTCAATATGACGTCTGGAATGGGCCATATGATTTTCTTGTAAGATGCAAACCATAACTTGTGGAGATGTATAATGCGAAACTTATTCACTCTTTGCCTTCAAAAAGTCATACTCAAAGCCAACATATTATCTGTGCGCGTGGACTACGGCGAGCACTGTGTTTCCACGTACTGCATGTAGGAATTGACTATTGCTGTGTTCTCCCTAGTATCAAAGGATCAAAGGATACCAAAGGTCACTGTTGCCGTTTCACTGCTCTCCATCCGGAAGCAAATCTGTTCCTGAAGCAAATTCCTCGTTCACGCCTTCAAAAATTCTTTGTCTTCTGAGTCGGAATCCGTGTTCATTCCGAGTAAAATGAGGTCGGTGTTCTGGTAGCTCGATCAACCGACGCTGCTGAAGAGTCGTGCCTGAGTGTAAGTATATGGGACATTCCGATCTCTTGGTCGTCGAACACCGTTTCTGACAGAATCATTTCATTTGCCACCTTTCCCTTAAAGTCGAGAAAGTGACATAACTTACGTTGGTATTCTTAATTTTATGCTTTGAATGACGTGCATCTGTATCAAGTTAATTGAACGGCCGCAGCAGCAGTCTCAACGCCGATTCGTCGAGGATGAATCATGGTACCAACCAGAGGTTGCCGTTCACGTATTCGTTCAGGGTAGAGAATGGAGAAATGGGCGCGTAACCCTGGCTTTAGCATATGAATGAGGTTTTTTACGCGGTTCGAGCGTAAACTTCTACATGCTTTGCACGAGTTAGTCATGAGACCGACTTGCAGATACAATGATTTTGAAGCTCGGCGGGTCGTGCCTAAACTCAACGTCTAAAAGCCAGCGTAGAAACCCTACGAGCTGCATTGCTCCCAACAAATGACGGCAGGGACGCGGGACTTTGTTCCCGCCGTCTCCGTGACCGCTGGCTCTGTTCCTACAAGAATAAGCACAACTCGCCTTGTTCCGCGTTGGGCGCATGCAAAGGATGTAATTATACCACGGCCAAAGATCAGCCAGCCACCCCTGCGAATCCATGTCTGCTTTCTACAACACTTGCCTTTTGTGGGGCGGCTCAGGCACCCGCAAATTAGAGTCCGTGTATGCGCAGATAACGGTATTGCCTATTGGCACACATCAGGGGACGAACAGAAACCGAAAGAGAAAGAGAGAGGTCTGTAACGTCCTGTAACGTCCATGTCGGGAAACAGTATCAAGGTAAAGCCGTATGCAGCGCACACTCATCAGGCACGGCCGCCACGTTATCTCAGTTCTGCTGCTACCTTTGTGTTATTTTTTCTTGCCGCGAGCAAGTAGGATCCCGATCAATGGGAAGAGAGATTTACTACCCTGTGGGTGCCTGGTGCACCGCATCGGCATCCCTTTCGTCGCGTCATCATTTTGCATCTCACCGCTCCGGTTGCTTGGGCGCTTTCAAGGCACGCGCACTCACGCTTGGCTTAGATAGAGCATCTTGTGTCGAAGTGGAGCGCGCCCCGCGTTTCTGGCGCAATGTTCTGTAACTGAAAGTAAACGGCCGAGCAGAGTGAGGGGTGGCTGTTCCTGGGTCGCCCGGGATTAGGCTCGACGGAGGCGCGAGGAACCGAAGGATCTACGGTGTGTTCCTGGTGTTACCCCATCCCTGAGCGCGCTACAGCGACCGCTCGTCCTCGCCCCTCGTCTTTGACGTCTCGCTTAGCGTACCATGCATCGACAGCGTACTTCGTCTGTGGTCGGCTTTCAAGACGAACTTTCAGGCTCGAGCCAACCCGATGCGGTTCATGACCGCCGCACGCGCACTCGATAAACCCAAATCCAATTTATCCTGCAAATGTTCGTCCACAACGGAAACAGCGAGAACATCGCCCAGCCCAGGCTGGCCTGTAATTCCATCTTTCAGTCGTTAATTACGATGCAACACGGGCGTACTGACTATTTTCGGCTCCCGCCGCCGTGCGCCATAGTGTCAGCGTGCCGCGCCCGTCGGCGCGTGATACACCATCAGTTCAATCATTCTAAACAGAACGAGCAGATCCAATGAGCAGATGAGTGGTTGCGATGAGTCGGATGTGTCGCGACGGCACGGGGCGGCACTTTCGCGGCGATGATGATCGTGATGAGTCAGTTTGCGTGTCGCTTCATGCTTGCTCCGGCATGAGTAAAGTGCGAATGTAGATTTGTTTTTGTCGGGATGCCCATGTAACCTTGAGCTACCTCGCTGGACGAGCGATGGCCGGGCCGTACGCATGCTCGATACTTTCTTGAACGTGGAAGGTCGCACGATGGGCGGCATGGTAGCCCATGGCAGCTGTCATCGCAGGAGGTGCGGAACAGTCCATCGCGGGCGGAGTTTGGCCATTCGACGTGCTGAACGCAGAGTGGATGGAGATTTGGGAAGAATTTCCCTCGAGCGTCGTTGTTCGCTCGGTGCGCGCGGCGGCTTTGCGGCCATCATGAATACGCCGGATGCCAGCGGATGCCTTTTGCGGTATGCATCTTGCCGGGGCCGCGGGAGAAATACGAGCGGCGGCACGTTGGTGAGCACAGCTCTTTGGGACGAACGACGTGGACCGTCGACTATAACGTCGGAGAAACTGCTCTCTTTTGTCGTATGGATCATCGTCTGCCACGGAGCTCAAGACGCTATCCATGTGTGCAAGACTGAAAGCGGGTGCGGTGCGTGGGTACCAACGACAGCGGCAAGCATGGCATGGCAGCGCGGCCGGGACTGGGCTGGAGGACATCCAGATTCAGAAGCAGGTAGTTGGGAGTCCGACGCGGCGCTAACGGGCGTTGAGCTCGGGGATTGGATAGGTGTGCGTACGCTGTGCAGGTGGTTTCTTGGCTGGCTGCAAAAAGCCTAGGCTGCCTTGGCAGCGTAGCGGAGGGCTAGTCCTCGTTGCCAATGGTGTCAACCGACTATCACGCTGTACAAGGACTTGCCATGCTCGTATCGTGTCGCTGCGTACCGTGTGGGTCAGCCAGACCAGCGCTTCTCGCGATCGGTGGCTGAGCTCGAACTCTGTGAGGATCGAAACTCAGCTGAAATTCAACGGACTTCAAGAAGGTTTTGTGCAGCACGGAAAGGACGAATCAGGGTGCATGCAACAATCAATGTGGTTTACAAAACAGAGACTCGTGATGCCGGATCAGCTGGTGCTGGTTGTGTGGCTGAGTTTTGTGCGCGATTGCCTGTGAATGGCGACAAGAATGGCAAGGAGACGGGTGAAAAAGCCAACTGAGTTCGGATTCTCGCAATCCCGTGGCATCCGGCTATGAGGTGAGCAGTGCCAGCGGATGAAATGATTGTCCCAGAATGTAATAGAATGTAACGCTATGCAGCCTGCAATGTGATACCCAAGTACAAGTATGGGATACCGGCGACCAAGGCCGTGCGTGCCGACGCGATGGTGGAATGGTGAAGAGACAGTGGCTCACACAGCACAGCGAGAGGATAGAGTGAATCGCAAAGACGCATCAGTGGTGATAACATAGGATGTGTGATTGGAACTAAGTAGGCGAGCGGGGGGAGTCAGGAACGATGATGTAGGTTTTTGAGGATCACCCAAATCTTAATTCGATCAATAGGCACATAGCAAGGATGTTCACGACAGATTATATAGATGGCGAGTATAGCCTCGGGGAGGACGTTGTTGAGCATCAAAGGAGATCAGGACGGTACTCACGAGCGGCGGTCACGAATGCATGGATCTTGTGGATGCGGAAGGATGAAGAATAGGGAGTACAAGATAGGGGCCAGTTTGGTGTATTTCTGCTGGTGATGGGAGATATGGGGAGGTCTGGACTGCGATCGGGCGATGCGGCTGGCGTCTATGTAGAGGGAAGATGGCGGATAAGACTCGGGATGGCGTTCACCGCCGAGTGTCAATGAGGAAGCGCGTATTCTGTGTTTCCTGTGTCCGTGTGTTTTGGGAGATGTGATGGGTGGTGAATGTATTGGGGAATGTTTTGAGAGGTGGGGAGGGTGTGTACGGTGCGGCGGACTCGGGCTGGGCCCTCTTGACCGCGTGGGCTGGGGATCGAAAAGGTGGACCGGAGGTTTACGTGTGAGGGGTTATCAGACGGGAACGGTGCCGGGCCACGGCCGGAGCTGTTCCTGATCCGAGAGAGTGGGCCAAGTTAGAAGTCCGACGGTTGCGGTGCCTTAATTGAGAGAGCAGCTCTTGGTTGATTTCAGGCACCTTTTAGTCGCGATTTCTCGTCTTTTGCCAGTTCCAATGGACGACTCAAAACGCAGCCCCCTCGACCCATCCCTCGATTCCACCTCCTCTGCCTCCCCGACAGACAACATATCTCCCACTGATTCCTCTCAAAACAACAACACCTCTCACAGCTCTCCCACAGACATGGCGGCGGTCCTCGCTCCCAACCAGCCCACCATCCTCCCCACCGCTGCCATCGGCGGTGTCAACAAACGCTATCGTCCTGCCCCTGCTAAGACTTTCCAATGCAGAGGGTATGGCGAGTGTCGCATGGTCTTCAGCAGAAGCGAACACCTCGCGAGGCACATTAGGTACCGTCTCCCCTCTCCCCCTCGTTCCTCTTTCGTCTCGTCGTCGACGACCTTCTTTGTCTCACCATGTCGTCTCTTTTACCAGGAAGCACACCGGAGAGCGTCCCTTTACCTGCCACTGCGGCAAGCAATTTTCTCGCCTCGACAACCTCCGTCAGCATGCCCAGACCGTCCACGCCGACAAGCAGGACCAGAACGACCGCATGATGCGCGACCTCACCACCCTCCACGCCTCCATGGCTGCTGCCAACAAGTCTACCCAGACGCGTGGCAAGCAGCGTCCCAACCAGTCGCCCACCCAGTCATCTATGCTTCCGGCTTCCCACCACTCTACCACCGCCAACGAACACGGTCTCCGCGGGCTGGACCAAGTCAAGGAGGAGGATGACATGTCCTCTTCCTCTCTGCCCATGCATCAACGTCCAGGTACGAGCACGGGTTACGAGGGTGGCAACGACATGATGTACCAGAGCTCTTGGAACACTGGCGATTTCGATCGTGGTCCTGGTCACTCGCATCCGCGGCCTCCCAACAACCATTCCTTTCGTGACTCCAGCCAGTCCTTTCGTGTCCCCCCAGCATCCACTTCTTCAACCATCGGCCAGCAGTCGCAGTCCTTTCTCCCCTTCTCCAACACATTCAGCTTCAGTGTCCCCCCACGGGATGGTCGCCCCGGATCTAGCCACAGCCGCCCACCAACAACAGGTGGACTCGACCAGAATGCTCGAACACTCCCGCCTCTTTCTGCCGTTGTCTCCGCAACCGTCGCCCCACCACCATCCGCTCAGCAGCCATTCCCCCTCCCACCACAGTCAACACAACACATACTTCCCCTATCAGGCGCCTCTGCATTCACCCGCCGACCTTCCACCGCAACACGACCAGGCACCGCACCAGCATCATACTTCGGCTCAAAACCTGCTTACGCCGGAGGGCCTGGACTGGTCTATCAGTCAGAGCTTCCCCTTCCATCATATGGAGGACGTTCAGTCGAGCTGGCAACAGCAGGGTCAGCAGCAGCCTACCACGCCGGCTACGATGCAGAGCCACCATCTCCAACTACAGGCGCGTACGACTCACCATTTTCCTTCCACCCACCGGCGATCTCCGAACAACAACCCGGGTCCTTCGCCGCTGCACCGGCAAACCCTCGCAAGCGACCTCACCCAGGGTCCGACGACGACGATGGACCACGAGGCGTTCCAGCGCCAGGCGAATATGACTACGGCTCAGAGTCGCGCCCTCAGTCTCGGCGACTCACAGTCATGGAGCTCTGCAATGACTCCGATGCAGATGCAGGACTTCGACCGCCAACTGGTACAGCAGCAACAGCAACAGCAGGCGGCGGCGCTTCGCGGCCAACTACATCGTCGGGACTCGTCTCATCAGCATCCAATCTCGCCCTCGTCGATCGATCCCCCAGCGGCAGCTCAGTATTCGCAGGAGTTACGCTACCAGCAATTGCAGCAACTTCACCGGCAGCGGACATCTTGCTCGGTTCACGATTAGTGTTCGCGGTGCCGCCCAAGTCTCACCTTTTCACGCTGAACGACAGCGTGTATGCGCCTTTTCCGAGTCCCTGTGGCGAATCTTCATCTATCCAAACGACAGCATATATGGATATCCTTTCCCAAGTCCTAACGCGTCGTTCGAGTTCTGATGAATGAAAACACCTTTTGCATTGCTTGCGTTTGCACAATGTACATAAAGACGATATACTTGGTGACCAGAACACATGAGACCATTTACGTGGAACGAAAACATGAAGACTTTTCTTCAGTACCCGCAGACTCGAAAACGAAGCAATGATAAACGAACGAACTGATCGGGGTGGGCAACAAAGGAGCAGAACGATCGAATCATGGTACGTAGCATGCGAACACGATTAGGTAATAAGAGTGGTATAGAGATAGAGCGGAACAAAGAGTGAGCAGACGCGGACTTCGAGCCGTAGAGTATTTAGATACGGATACGTGATGAAGGATGGTAAACGGGGGAGAACGGCTGTCGATGCAGCGCACATCGATTGAGCATATCATACAGAACCACGAGAACGAGAAAGCCGATACTACTTCGGAAGGACCATTGTCCGCACGCAAGCACCAAAGAGAAAAAGAGAAAAAGAAAACCCGAATACAGTAGACCAGAACGAAATTCACCTCTCCGTCGATGCGATCGCCAACACTGGCGTCATTGCCAGCGACGAGCACCTACACCCTCATTCCAACAGGCGTGGGGGAGTAGGGAGACCCAAGTGCTGATCGAACTTCATGCCCGTCATTTCCTCGCCCCCGGTGAGAAAGGGCTGGAGAGAGGGATGCATCTGAACCTGCTGGCGAAGGGGATAGCCCGATAGATCGAGCAGCGGCGGCGAGGGCTGCTGGGGAAGGCTGGCTCCGTGGGCTCCGAGATGCATCGGATAGGACGGGACTCCCTGCTGAGAACCCTCCCCAGGCGTGAGCGACGGCGCCTGAAGCGGAAGGAACGTGAGCTGCTGTTGGGCTCGCTGAGCCGGCTGCATATAGTGCTGTACCTGTTGCTGTTGGGGATGGAACGTCCCGTCGGGCGAAACTCGGGGGTGAAATCCGTTGCTCCCGTCCGAACGACGACGCTGCTGTTGCGCCGCCTGCTCCAGCCGCTGGTTTCATCTTTGACGGAGAACGTTCCAGCGGCGGCTTCGCTCCTTCGAAAGTTGGCAAAGGTTTCATTCTATTAGATAAACGGCCACATGAAACTCTGCAATCCGAGTAAGGACTCAGTTCGGGTCCGTACGAGCTCGAGCCCGATGGCACCGAGCTTATTCTAGGCTCTATGCGTCGAAAATGAGGTTGGGGAGGTCGCTTCATTACAAGAAAGTTCGCGCACACGGACCCTTAGCTTGGGCTCGGACACGACGGTGGACGTTTCGCGGTGGGCGTCAACCACGTTCCTTCGAGTTCGATGCCGTGCGGGACGGGCTTCAGAGTTCTGCCCGGCGAGAGAGGCGGTGCGCTGATCAGGAACTGCTGGGTCGATTGAGGAGAGTTCAGGAGGGTTTCCCTTTCTGGGTGGTGGGCAGACATGGACGGAATAGGAAGGCGAAACGTCTGGCGCTCCGTCGTGCGTTTTGGGCTCTGCTCGTCGAACGCAAAAAATCTTCAGGGGCATATACTCGCCTTCCCTCCCGTGTACCCACCATCGTCCCTCTCAAAAGCGCAAAGACACTATGCTGCGCACTCCGTACGTTCCTGTCTCTTCTGCGATGCTTACTTGTTGCTCGAGTATGAGCTGATCGTTTCGGCGGGCAGGAAACCGAAGAACGCTCGCTCGAAGCGGGCGATGGATGCCCGCGAGCCAAAGGAGGTCGAGGACCCGCGGACCGTCATCTTTGTCAAGGGTACGCATACGGGAGAGGTGCTGAACGGGGCTATGAAGGATCTGGTGCGTACGTGCTGCCCTTGAGTGCTTTCGACTGGGTTGGGCTCACGGGCGATCGTTTTGTCTGGGTTCTTCCGTTGTGCACTTTTTGTGGCCGCTCTTACTGTTATGGATTGGTCGTGCATACACTCTCGTTCGGCTGTGTACCACTCCTCTGGGTCTCTTGCGACATCGGACGCACTCGCTCACGTTCACGCTACGGATCGGCTTTCTAGATGGCGCTGAAGCGTCCGCACGCCATCTCGTTCTCGAAGAAAAACACGGTCCGGCCGTTTGAGGACACATCTTCATTCGAGTTCTGGGCTCAGAAAAACGACGCGTCGATGTTCATGTTTGGACAGACGACCAAAAAGCGGCCCGATGGGTTGGTGCTCGCGCGGATGTTCGACGGAAGGGTGCTGGATATGGTCGAGGTGGGCGTGGACAAGTTCGTGAGCATGGCCGAGTTCAAGGTACGTCTATCCTCGTCCTTATCCCTCGTCCTTCTTTGTTTCGACTGCATCTTTTTCTTTCTCTTCCTCCGCCGTCTGCCGTCCCCAACGGATGGGTCGGAACTGTTGCGTATTCTTGGACTGAACTTCACCCACACTCACACTGAGCTAACACACCCCACGCTCACGCTCGCGCATGTTGAATGCGCATACAGACGCCAAAATGCACACCGGGACACAAGCCGATGCTACACTTTGCCTCGGAGCTGTTCGACACGCACCCGCGGTTCGTCCAGCTCAAGTCTATCCTCATGGACTTTTTCAACGCCGAGGTGATCGACTCGATATGTCTGCCTGGGCTCGAGCACGTCATCAGCGTGAGCCTGTCACCCGCCACGCAGGCGACGGCGAACGCGACGTTGGGGGTCGTAGAGGAGGACACGTCAAAATTGCCAAAGGTACACATACGGACGTACACGGTCAAGTTGACACCATCGGGCACACGGGTGCCGCGGGTGGAACTGGTGCCGATGGGTCCGTCGCTTGATCTGTCGCTGCGGCGGCATGAGGAGGCGGACGGGGAGATGTGGAAGCAGGCGATGAAGCGGCCGAAGATGAAGAAGCAGGACGTCGAGAAGGGGCTGGGCAAGAAGAAGAAGAATCTGGAGGTGGACGAGATGGGCGACTTGAGAGGACGGGTGCATGTTGCGAAGCAGGACCTGAATAAGCTGCAGACGAGGAAGATGAAGGGGCTCAAGAAGGGCGCTGGGGACGATGCTGGTGATGACGATGAGGACGAGGGGGACGAGGACGCTGAGATGGATTAGGCTCAACGCTGGATGCGTGAGGTCCACGTTTAGGTTTCGACTGCTGCGTGGAGGGGGCGTTGCGATGTATTTTTACTCTGTACGACTCACATCGCATTAAATTTCTGGAGGTGTCTACAACGTTTGCAACGCGCATGTGAAGCACATGGGGGACCGGGCGCTATGAACAAGGGCGCTTAGTCATGGAGGGTAAAATTGCCAGTGCCAACGCATCTTGGATTCTCTCGTGATTCTTATTTCCCCCGCTCTCCTCTCCCTCTCCCTCCCTTCCCTCCCACACTCCTTCGTCGCTGCCCACCACGACGACCAGCCCAATTCTGTCCCTTTCCATGCTGTAACAATGGCTTGTACGTCTCCGAATATCCTCATTTCACTTAACCGTGCTGATCGGCCTGTCCAACAGCCATCCTGTCTTCATTATTACCCGGGTCAGTACACGTGCGGCGTAGTCTGTCGATCGACGCTGATCCCTTCCCCCACTCCACCAGCTCGTCCACCAGTTCTTCTGCCACCTCCACCTCCCCCACATCGACTTCTTCCTCCACCTCCACATCCGCCACCTCCACCTCCAGCCCCACCAGCACCTCTGCTTCTACGACTTCGGCAACAACTACCAGCCCTTCTACCACCACTGGGTCCACCACCTCGGCCTCGTCTTCGACCAGCACAACTGCAGCCCCGACAAGCACCACTGCAATCCAGACCACTACTTCCGGCGGTAACGTTTTCACAGAAACGTCTATAGTCATCCAGACGCCAACAACCCCGGCTAGCCCCCAGAATGATTCATCCCAAGGCGGGTCAGTGTCATTCGTCCTCTTCGCACTCAACCGCACAGACATTGGGGCTGACCTCCGCCCACAGCTTCTTCCACAACAAGGGCGCAGTCGCGGGCGTGTTCGCTGCCGTGGGAGTCGTCGCTGCCGTTTTGTTGATCATCATCTGTACGACCATATACCGCCGCCGCCGTGCCTCCCGCTTCGACAGGGACGTCGCCGATGCTGCTGCGGCTGCTGCCGCGTCCTCGCGCTCGCCGTTCGACGACGACGTGTACGCAGACCGCCATGGCCCCGACAGCAACCCATACGCCGGCTACGGTGCCGCAGCGAACAAGAGCAACGGATACTCGGATGATCGCTCTCACGGAACATACGCGCAGCCCCCGATGCAGCCCGTCAGCACTGGCAACGGCTCGTACCCGCAGATGAGCGAGTACTCGCACTTTGACCCTTACGCGGGAGCGGGGCACGCCGGCGACCCGTACGCTGCCGGCGCTGCCGCGCTGGGCGCGGGCGCGGGCTTTGCGGGTGTCGGTTCTGGTAAATTGCAGCGCGAACCGAGCAAGCATGCCCCGTACAATGCCTTCGCAGGACCTCGCGGGCAGGAGACGATGGACCATGCGGTGCGCTACGGGCGAGGCAACAACACTGGCGTTTTGGATGCCGTTGGACTTGGAGCTAGCGGTGCGGCCGCGATGGATCGCCAGCGTCGTCAGAGTGCGCACGGAATGCAGGGCTACAGTGATTATCCCCAGCAGCAGGGTGCGCACCCGCAGCAGCAGCAGTTCAACCAAGGACCGGCGCAGGGAGGATACACACAGGGCGGGTTCCAGGATCCCTACCCGCAGCGCGGGCAGAGCCAGAGCCATCATGTAAACAACGATACCCCCTTTGATCCGTACGGTGTCGCGCAAGCGGGCAACTACGCGGCGCAGGACCGCACGCCGAGCCCCGGAGAGCCTCTGCCGAACCCGCATGGTGCGTCGCAGCAGCATATTCCGTATACGGAGGAGCCGGAGAATGAGATGGAGCACGAGCATGGGGCGTATGAGGGCATTGGAGGGGAGGAGCATGGGCTGGAGCATGAGTACGAGCATGAGCATGAACTCGAGCCCGAGTCGGACGAGGAGGACGAGAGGTCGGGGCGGGTGCTCAAGGTGCGTTTATAGCGTTCGTGATCGTTATCTTCGGTTGTGCTGATATTTTCTCTTTCAGGTTGCTAACGAGTAATTGTTTGCGCCATCCGCCGCCGTTGTCGGTTCATCGGACCCTTGTTTTTGCGGACTACCTTTCTTGCTACCTTCTCCCGCTTCTCCGTATGCGTCACCTATCCCCCCATCTCCCTCCACGTCGCTGCCACCACTCCCTTCCCCACTCCCCGTCGATCATTACCGTTTTTTATTATTCATATGTAGTGCAATGCAACGGGCATGACTCACCCTTTACCCCACGCGCTGGCCCTCTCTACTCTTGACTTCATTTATCGAGTCCGTCCTTGTTATGTGTTGGGATCGGGTGTGCTGCTTGCCTCGACCACTTTAGACCATGGCCTGCTTGCTCGTTACCCCCCACTAACTAGTTTGTGCTTTGTTCGCTAGTTCCTGTTATAGCTACGGTCACCCGGATGACGAGTGTTCTCGACTTACCTGCGCTGTGGACTGTTTGTTAACATCATTGTCCTTTGATGTGTGGCTGTGGCACTCTACACTGATAACCTCCATGTGATTTGATGGTGGACTGTCGAGCATGGTTGTGCGTTCTAGGTGCTATACCACTGGGTAATTAGACCGGGGGAAGGATTTGTATCTAGGTTCTAGGTTGGTTATGATATACCCACATACCCACATATGATGTTCCATGTTATCATAATCAATGCTCATCTAAAGATGGTTGATGGTGACAAGAATGTTCTGTCTATGGACATTGTGGCTTGCATGCAAGCCTGCCGCTTCGTTTCATCTCAAATTCACATTGTTCAGTCTGTCAAGGTGAACGTGGAGAACCCATGTGTGTCCCATTCTTCGATGAAAAGGGCTCGAAGTTAAATGTTAAAGCCTGCACATTATCAGTGTGCACCAACCTGTGCGGTTTGCATCCTCATTACCATGTGTAGGAAGCGGCCCCAGGTTCCCATACTCTAACAATGCGATGTAATAGAAAACAAAGAACATTTTGAGAATGTTCAGCATCAATCAAGCAGTGCTCTATTGCACGTCTTTGGGCCACTCGGACTGATCCTGACATATACTGTACCATTACGACCTTAAGTTTGTCCCCTGTCCACTCGGGGCTTGAACTGAACTTAGTTAGGGTGTACAGTCCACCCTCTGTCGACCCATCCGAACTTAGAGAGGTGGACAGACGTGCAAACAACAAAATCACACCAAAAATAGAATAAATAGGGTTATTTCCCGTATAGTTAACCATCTTACCGTTATTCGTTTGGTTGTGTTTGGATTAAATGTCGAGCTCTGCCTGTCGATTGTTCCGGCCGTTCTTCGCCCCTGTTGTTCGTTCTGATGCGTCAGCCTTGATATTCAAGAGTTGGTAATCGGTCTTAGCATCTCATTCAAATCACTTCTCCTGTTGTCGAACCTCCTCAAATTGACTCCTTGGCGGTATGTACTCCTCGCCCTGTGTCGCTTTAAAAACGGGGGTCTGAACACGGCTAACATCGACAATCCATCCCACCCGTTTCCACTTTCCCACTCCTCATGTCTGTCGCCATCGTGGTGGGAATGCTCGGTCTTGCCAACGGCATTCGTTGTTCGGAAAGCAATGGCAGTTCGCAGACGTTCTACTGTTACTACGATTCCGCACTTCACTGCAGTCAAACGCGGTCCGCGCCCGCGCAAATTCGTGTGTACAGCCCGAAGCGCGATCAAGTCCTTCCCAACGACACGGTGGCTTTTGTCATTGCGAAGGCTTACTTCGAGCGGGGCGGCACCATCCTCCTCGACACTCAACCGCAGCAGTTCTTTCCGATTCCGGGAGACCCCTCGGACGAGCACTACTTGGACCACGTGCCCGAATTCAGCCACCCTATGCTGTTCGCTGTTGGTCGAGTGTGCCCGACGTCGTCTGGTGACAGTGTCGCGTCTCCTGTCCGACGCTTTGATCTTGCAGTGTCGGAATACGTCCGCAACAGCACTCAACATAGCACTGTTGAGTAAGCTCGACCTTACCGCTGTGGCCGTCTTCGTTTGACATTAATAATCTGCCAGACTCGCTTGCGACACTTCTACTTTGCGTTGGGCAAACACACCCACGCCCTCCGTCAATACCGGCGTAGGTGTCCTCGCCGTCGCTAGTGGGGTGACGACAGCTGGGGTGATGCGGTTCGACCTCCTATCTTTGGCGTTGAATGTGTCGCCTTCCGTGGCTGTTGGCGGAGGCACTCTTAACGCAGGGAATGGCGGCGACGACGCGCCCTCTTTGAAGCGCAAGCGTTTCTCAGCGTACGCCAGTGACGAACGTCGCGCGTCAACCCCGTAAGCAACAATAACATGAATTTCTGATAGACAGACACTCACATACACTTTTAGCATCCACGCCTCGCCTCACAGGTCCGATACGTCTGCCGTTGGTGATGAGACAAAGCAGCAAAATGAACCAAGCGCCAAAACTATTGCCATTGAAGCAGAGAGCGGGGTAACCAGCAGCACAAACGCGTGAGTTTGAAACGTTTGTATGTTGAATGCGTTAAACTCACCTCAATCGGCAGAGAGGATATCAGCATTCAATTGTAAGCAGTGTTTTGTTATTGTGTATATCATGTAAACTGATACTTTTGTAGCAGAGACGAATGTAGTAAGTCGCAAGAGGTTCATTAAGAGGATTTGGGGAGGGTGTCCTGGGTTAGGCCTGGGCTAGGGTGGGTTATGGCAAGGTTTTGACACAAATAGCATGGTTTCACTCCCTCAAAATGCTATGATGACACTTTGAGGGGTACTAAATCTTCAATTTCTGAGTATGCTCCCCTCAAAATGTCACAGTGGCAGTTTGAGGGATACCAAATACATGAAATCTCACCAGCCAACATCCCTCAAACTGTCACTGTGGCATTTTGAGGGG